TCTACTGCTGTTTACGATGAGTGTTGCTTCATATTCTTGGTGTTTTTATGTTTAACGTACTTTTTGATCAGGCCTGAATCATGTGAAAGCTTTCTGTTCTCATATTTTCTTCTCATTTGGTTTTCTGGTTGAGATGTGCTACGACTTGGCAATTTCATGTCTCTCAGTCCTTTTGTTATCATTATATCAAAGTCATGGGCTATGATTGTGAAATATGTTGAGAAGAACAATACTCACTGCACGTGTCTTCTCGTTTATTATGTAGACTTTTTTAGGTAGTTTACATTTTGGTATCTTTCCCATTCTTTTTTTCCTAATATACTACTTTGTTCTGCATTATACAGGTTATAAACCCTTGATATGGGTCTACTTGTAGCTGGCACGAAATATCGTGGGGAATTTGAGGAGAGATTGAAGAAATTGATGGAGGAAATCAAAAAAGTGACGAGATAATACTTTTTTTATGATGAGTACACACTCTAATTGGAGCAGGAGCAGCTGAAGGAGCAATTGATGCTGCAAATATATTGAAACCAGCACTTGCAAGAGGTGAACTGCAGGTAAATTAGCTCTTGTCTTTCTATTGGTTGTGCCATTTGTGTACTACTCAGTTAAACCAGTGAGATATAAGTAGCATTGGTAGGGGCTGGATATCAATTATAATTCAGTTGTGCGGCCAACAATTGTCACTACTATGTGGCCAGGTTTAGATAATTGGTATGTAATCAATTGCTGTTAATTGCAATTGATTATGGAGGAGGACATTGGAGTCGAAAGGTTTTCGTCTGAGTAGAAGTAAGACGGAATATTTTATTGTAATTTGGTAAAGGACTATTCGAAAATAATTTGGAAGTGAAATTGGGAGATCAAATTATACCTCAAGTGAAAAAATTAGATATTTGGGAGCCATTATTCAAAATGATGGCGAAATCAGTGGAGATATTTCACATAGAATTCAAGCTGGGTGGTTTAATTGGAGAAAAGCTAAAGGAGTTATTTGTGACCGTAAGGTGCCTAATAAACTTAAAGGAAAGTTTTATCGTACTGCTATTAACCGGCAATGTTATATAGTAGTGAATGCTGGACTCTAACGGGACAGCAGAGCATAAAGTTGGAGTAGCAGAGATGAGAATGTTACGATGGATGTGCGGACATACACGTAAAGATAAAATTCGAAATGAGCAACATACGTGAAAAAGTGAGGGTGGCACCTATTGAGGAAAAAATGGTAGAAAATCGGTTGAGATGTTTGGGCATGTACAAAGAAGACCAAGGGAGGCACCAGTGAGAAGAGTGGAACATATAACTTTGAGTCCGATTAGAGAGGTAGAGGAAGGCCTAAGAAAAACTCTTGGAAGTTGTTGAACGTGATCTCTTAATTAATAATATTCTAAAAGCTTAATAAATGATAGAGCACAATGGCGTCTTGCATCCATGTAGCCGACCCCACCTAGTGGGATAAGGCTTGTTGTTGTTGTTGTTGTTGTATGTAATCAATTGCTGTTGTAATTTTAGACAGTTTGAATGTTAGACCGCAGAATGATGATATGCCTACTGTGGTAGAGTTTTTGTTGCGCTTTTTCCCTTCAAATCAAACAGATGTGGTAAAAAATTCTGTTACTGTTGTCTATAGTGGAGATGTACTGAAAAAATTGTCTGCTTATTATTTCTGCAGTGTATTGGAGCCACAACATTGGATGAATATAGGAAACACATTGAAAAAGATCCAGCCTTGGAGAGGCGATTCCAGCCAGTTAAAGTCCCAAACCAACAGTTGATGAGACTATACAAATTTTGAAAGGACTTAGAGAACGATATGAAATTCATCATAAGCTCCGCTATACTGATGAAGCCCTTGTAGCAGCTGCACAGCTGTCATACCAGTATATCAGGTATTTCATAGGCCATTTTTCTACATCTGATCTGCTCATTTTGCCTTTTCATTTATGCTGAAATGATCAATCGGACAAGATTCTCTGTTCAATGTGTCATGTTTGAAGTTTCCCCCCAAATTAATTGGGTTTTTATCAGCCTTTTGGAACAGCAGTGGTAAACCACTTTGATTTGTTTTGCATTGTTTATTTGGAGTTCTAAATAAGTTGTTTTGTATCCCTAGATGAACAGATGGTCCTTTTTAGATTCCTTTTGCTTTATTCTTACCCAAGTATTTTTTTTTTTAATAACTAAAACAATGCCATTGCCTACAGTGATCGGTTTCTGCCTGACAAAGCGATAGATTTGATTGATGAAGCTGGTTCCCGGGTCCGGCTTCAACATGCACAGGTATATTGTGCACCTACCCTTGTGTTATGTTTGGATTAGTGGGGATTTGGATCTGGCCCATTTCCATTCTTCGGATACATAAATTTGGATTAGAAATTTTTTTGATTACAATTCCTTTAGAATTTCAACTGCATAATCTACCCTAATTATTTCAAATCTCAACTATCATCTTTCAATACTATCCAAACACGTGGACAAGTCACACAAGTAGGATAACTCGTTCTTATCGGTGTGGAATTTTTTATGCTACTCAAATAAAGGATTTTAAATGTAAAATCCAAAGCTAAACCCATCTTTCCAAACTCCACCATAGCTTATTCTATTCAATGATTAAGCTAACTGACCTTGATATATGTACCTTCAGTTACCTGAAGAAGCAAGAGAGCTGGACAAGGAGGTCAGACAAATTGTGAAAGAGAAAGAAGAAGCTGTTCGCAACCAAGATTTTGAAAAGGTAATGTACTTAAATTGTGTAGTTCTGTCACGAAATAAATTTTCAGCATTGCCTTGATCTGATGAGATGTTATATTTTTAATCTAAGCAATGAAAGTAAGAGACTTAGTTTCACTGTCAGATAGTATGGGAGTTTATTTTTTATGAGTTTCTTAATAATTTAGAGGACAGTGTTCCAGTTTGTATCTTCTCTCAATGTACTTTTTACCCAATCAAATTTATAGGATTTTTAACCAAACTAAGTGAGCTGATGATACATGAATGTCTGTACAGGCTGGAGAGCTACGGGATAGAGAAATGGATCTCAAGGCCCAGATATCAGCACTTGTAGAGAAAGGTAAGGAGATGAGCAAGGCAGAGAGCGAGGCAGGAGATGAAGGTCCAGTTGTGACTGAAGTTGACATCCAACACATTGTATCCTCCTGGACTGGTATTCCTGTTGAGAAAGTCTCGACAGATGAATCTGATCGCCTTCTCAAGATGGAAGAGACCCTACACAAGCGAGTCATTGGTCAGGATGAAGCAGTAAAAGCCATTAGTCGTGCTATTCGCCGAGCCCGTGTTGGATTGAAGAATCCCAATCGTCCCATTGCCAGCTTCATCTTTTCTGGTCCAACAGGTGTGGGGAAGTCCGAGTTAGCAAAAGCATTGGCTGCATACTACTTTGGCTCTGAAGAAGCAATGATTCGACTTGATATGAGTGAATTTATGGAACGGCACACTGTCTCCAAGCTTATTGGTTCACCTCCCGGTTATGTTGGTTACACTGAAGGTGGTCAGCTGACTGAGGCAGTTCGTCGTCGGCCATACACTGTTGTACTCTTCGATGAGATTGAGAAAGCTCACCCAGATGTATTCAACATGATGCTTCAAATTCTGGAAGATGGAAGATTAACAGACAGTAAGGGCAGAACTGTGGACTTCAAGAACACGCTTCTTATAATGACATCAAATGTTGGAAGCAGCGTGATTGAGAAAGGAGGCCGCAGAATAGGATTTGACCTAGATTATGATGAGAAGGATAGTAGTTATAATCGTATCAAGAGCTTGGTGACTGAGGAGCTAAAACAGTACTTTAGACCAGAGTTTTTGAATAGATTGGATGAAATGATTGTTTTCAGGCAACTCACGAAGCTGGAAGTGAAGGAGATAGCTGACATAATGCTGAAGGAGGTGTTTGACAGACTGAAGGCCAAAGATATTGAGCTCCAAGTGACAGAAAGATTTAGGGACAGAGTGGTTGAGGAAGGTTACAATCCTAGTTATGGAGCCAGGCCATTAAGGAGAGCTATAATGCGGCTTTTGGAGGACAGCATGGCAGAGAAGATGCTTGCTAGAGAAATTAAAGAAGGCGACTCCGTTATAGTGGATGTCGATTCTGATGGTAATGTTATTGTCCTCAACGGTAGCAGTGGTGCCCCAGAACCCTTACCTGAGGCTGTTCCCGTATAAATATAAATTACATGGGCTTCTTAATGCTGCCTTTGCCAAGATGTCTGTATTTGTTTCATAACCCTAGACAGTTTTATTTGTCACTCAACTAAGAGCTATTTATTTTCTTCTGGCTGTTGAGGGGAGTCTGAGCATAGCCAATCAAGGAAAGCAGGGGAAAAGCTGTTGCATGCCATTGTTAGGGCTCGTAGTTTTTATTTGGTTAGTCCTCTAGTTCCTCATTAAGTTATTCTTGGTTTAAGAGTTAAAATCATTGTGAAATTTTATTATTTTTAGTTATAAATACACGAGGGCATGCTTTCGATCTTCAGCCGGGACTGTGTCATGTGATTAGTTTACATAATACCGGAGTTAGTTACCATAAATATAGTCTGTTTTATAGAAAGTCAGTCACAATCTCCACTGTCGTACACTTTCGACAAATTGAAGATCTGACCTCAAGCATGATTAATAACTAATTAATGCAAAACGTTCTGATCACAATAGGACACCAAAACTGCCAACCATCTTGTACCGTGTTTCTACATGATTCATCAGACAGCTCTCTTTTGAAGAGAGGACAGGAACAAGGAATGTTTCGTGACAAAAATATTGATGCCCCATTCCTTACTAGCGTTATTTCTATTTACTATTATTTAAAAATAATTAAGTTATTAATGACTGAATGAAATCAAAAATATAAGCCTGCCATCCACACCAGAATAAATGAAAAACAATGAAGTTTTTCGGAAAAACTTGTTAGTGGAGGAAAATTTTCTAAGGATAAGAGATTGACCTAGGATAAACATTCTACTCGGTTAATGCACGAAAGGTTCAGGAAATATCAAACTCATTTGGAGAAGCTTTTTATTTCCCATTTTCCTGCATCTTACAAAGAAGAATACGAAGAGAGAGCATCAAATTATGTCACAACATGGGGGTATCAATTATCGTTGATTGACAACTGAATGAGCCGGAAAAACAGTGAAAAGATAGAAGCTACGGTCTCCGTTCATCCATAATTGAATGAGACTGCCTCTGTTTAGGGCTGACGCTTCCACCACGACTAATCTTCAAAGCTGCCAAAGCTTTCTCAATCTCCATTTTCATGCCACTATCTACACTCCCTGATGATAGTCTTCTGTGCGATTTCTGCAGATGCAGCTTAAGAGAACTGCTGCTTAGTCCTACATTCTTTCCACAGATAGGGCAAATTTTCATCGTCGGTTTCCTTTGCTGCCACACCATGGACATTTTTCCATGCAGTTTCTGATCCAGTTCCATTAAGATCTTCGCAAAACCATCGTTCGGCTGAGCTCGCCGGTGGACCCGTTTCATTGCATTCCATGCTTCAAGTAAGGTGCATTTCCTGCATCACAAAGGCTTCAGTTTCAAAACTCCACCAGAAGTCACTACCTGTACTTCTCTCACAATTATTGATTATTGATGACTATAAATAAGATAATTATCAATTCCTTTCATCTCAATAAAATTCAGTGGCAAAAAAAAAAAAAAAAATTTCTACCTGGTAATATACTTGGTCCTTTAGTAAGCTTAGTCCGGTTACTTTTAACAACAAAGGCACCGATTTAATTGGTTTTAATGGATTGGTGATAGGACCCATGTGACCAACAGCGCTTGATCAAAACAACGGGAGAGTGAGGTCTTAGGTCTTACCCCTTAACCAGGATTGCTTTCAGCATGTAGTCATTTTCCAATGGTGGTCAGGCGTTTATTTGATCAGTTATGCAGTTTGCTTCATAGATAGATGTAGGGAAGTCTCAGTCAGAATACTTGAATTCCTTTTGCCTTTGTATTGGAGATTCTGCTTTGGTTTATTAATGTTGGTATTTTCTGATTCTGGCACTAATTTCGTCTAATAAAAAAATTATTTAACTCATCTTTAAAAATCAGTACCTAACTGCTGGCTCCATAGGCCATAGCAATGTTAGTATCAGTTTTTAATAAACGATGTAGAATCTATATTCTGACTTACTTCCTGAGCATTAAGTAAGCAAGGACCAATGTAACGCTTCTGCTTTTCCCTTCAAAGCAATGGACTAAAATTCTATGACCTGCTTCCTCAACATAACTTATTAGATCACAAGCTTCTTCAAATATGCTATTAATGTTAGAATCTTCGTCATCGCATACCTGTTCAAGTGGGAGAGCAAACAGAAATTATATGAATACATATTCCTGGAAAAAATACTGTATGTTGGATATCTCATTAAACAGAATAGGATTTTACAGACATGAAAAACAAAGTAGTAAACCAAATTGAGAAGTACATATATCCCATGATTAAGCCAAAAAAAAAATGCCGAAGCTGGCCTTAGCAAGTAGAAAATTTTTTAGCATATAGCTATGCCAAAGACTTGGAGTCCAGGTACTTTATCAGACATGGGAATCAAAATTTAGAATGATTGTGACTACTGAGAGAAATTAGGCTAAGCTTACGCAAATAAGAAAGAGAGAATAGTTGGAAAAGAAAAGAGAAAATAACATGACTTACGAAGAAATTTTTGTATGCAAATAGATCAGGAAATTGAGAATCTGATTGTCCTATTTCATTCGTGCACAAACACATAATATGTGTGATTCCCAATTGTTGAAGTGTGTACAAAGACCTTGCAGCGAGTGCTCCACCTATGAACAGATTATTTGCAACACGGGATGGCTTCTCTGAATTTGCAGCCTCAGATATCAATGCAATTCGCTCAAGAATATGCTCAAGTCTGACCTGAATGTAACAGGGGCAGATCCTTTGTGTGAATGAAAAGAATCCCAAAATATTTTGTTAGGTAGGGTCAAAGTGGAAGATAGAAACCTTCAGTTCGTAAGCATCAATGACACAGTAATTATCACTACCCTCAAAAAATCCTGTATTGAAATTGTTTTCCTGGCACAGCCTGACAGCATCATTTTTAAGCATTTCATTCCACTGTTCTAATTCTCTGTTAGACTCTGCATCGACCTGGAAATTATGATAGGGTGTAAAATACAAGGTAAAAACGATGTTCCATATGGAAAATACAGAGCTAGTTTACAATGTTACTTTCTTATCAACCAATTACTGAGACAAAGGATGGTTGAACACAAGCAACAGGAGAAGAAATTGCTGGCAAAAATTTAACTGAAAACAGTTGGGCCCTTTTGCTTTCAAGCTGTCTGCAGCTTTGGAGCGTTTGCTTGCTGCTGGCTTTCAAGCCTACGTTTCCACATTTCCCAATGTTTTAATCATTGGAGACCTTCCAGTATAACATAAGTACAACATATGAACAACGAGAAATCAGACATAAACTGAATGGGTTAATCCACTTGTTTCCTAAACAAAACAAAACAAAACAAAAAAAAAAAAAAAAACCACTTCATCTGATTCATCAAAATCCGTACTTTTTCTTAAGAAACCAATGAAAGCATTTCCTGGTCAGAATCATAAGCATTGTCCGCTGGAGTCAATTTTGTGTTAATAGAATTGAAATAAAAAAGTCTCATAATGAATAGAGAAACAAATACGCCATTGACTGCTTGCTTCTTCCATTTTTTGGGTAAAAATTTGACCGCTTGTTTACGATATACTGAAAAATACCATCAAACCAAACATTTAGACAATTCTTCCAGCAATACCACAACCATGGGACTAGCATACAAGGTTGATACTAACAATACCAACCTTTGCAAACTTATGGAAGTCACGGAGCTTCGCCGTCAAGCGGAGACTTCGTAGTGGTTCCCCGCTTCCTTTACAAAACTTTCCATGCCAACCCTCTCTCGTCAAGGCAGAAAATTCAGAATCATCTCTACTGCCAGAACAGGATGCCCTTTGATATGTTTTCTGTAGTTCTGAATCACAATCTGGAAGGTTATCATTAACAGATCTCTCTTTACTTGATGGAGAGGAACAGTTACCACCTCCAGCTGCCTGTGAAGTGGTGTCAGGTGAAACCAATGAATCATATTTGTCAAATTCCCCCGTTGATAATTTGCTCATAATGTTCATAAATGATCTTAACGAGCTATCAAGCTTCTGGTGAAGTGTTAATAGGAAGATATGAAATCCCTGCAGATCCCTAAGAGCGGCACGAAAACCAGTACGGAATGCATGAACTGCTGATGTCATGTCATTTGAATGAACATCAGTTGTTGAATTTGGGACTTCTGGCAAAGGAGATCCTAATTTACCTCCAGTTATATCATGCAAGAGGTTGGAGGCAAACTCAGAACTATTGAGCACTAACTCAACCAGTTTAGGATAAATAGCTTGATCTATTGCACGTTTACCAGCAGGGGGTCGGCGGGGAACACCAGAATCAATAGCCACAATGTTTAAGTCAGTAAAGAGTGCTTCACTTGATGTGTAGCTTTGAAGGCTTATGTTAGACAATCTTGGTGATTCGGCCATCTCTGAAATATCAGAAACCTGTGATACCAGTCCAGGGTTATGAGAACTCAATCTGCTATCTGATGAAGTTGACCTTCTTTCTTTTTGAAGTGTCCTGATCACCCTTGGTCTATATAGATGCATTGCAGAATCAAAAGCTTCCTCTAGTGTATCAGTATTCGCAGAGATAACCTTTTCAGTCAACAACAAATTTGCAGAATTCCCACGCCATCTAAGCTCACGGCAGGGGAGCCTATCTTCATTTCGGATAACAAGGTCTAGCATCAACACCTTGCCAAGAGCTGCTGATGTTCTTTCTACTGACTCTTGGTACTCGAATGCACTAGAACTTTCAAGTAAAGGTGACCCATGCACATAGCTGCAAGAAGATGCTGAATCCTTAGAACAACCAGTTTAAAGTTATCTTGAAGAAGAGATTAAAGGACATCATGTTAGCTCAGTATTGATTTCCCAGGAAATAGCCATGGTGGATTTGGTTTAGCTATGTGAACTTCATGAATTGTAATGTCAGCACAAGAACATCCTATCAACAAAACAGTTTCGTTTCACTAACTGTAGTCCTGTAAACTAATCTCCACCTATATTTCACACGGACACGCAGAAGAGTGCAGAAGAAACAGTTAATTATTTCTTGGTGATTCCCAGAAAACGTTGTCATTCAATATCAACTCATATCTGAACAAGAGGGGCAAACACAACTACCAAGAAAGAAATTTTCTCCATCAGACAAATAAATAAGATTTTTCTAAATGAGAAGAATCCATCTATATCAAAGATTAACAGTAGGCACGCCAATACTCTGTAAAACATTCCTGTACATCGGGTGTATTGAAATTAAGTGAAAAACTCTGCAAGTGACAAATTAGCCACGCCTACTCCCTTTATGCTAGAATGAATGAAATAGGCAAAGTAAGCAAAAATATTTACATGGTTACATTATGAGACCTAACTGTACCCAGATTTGGATCATACCCCATAAAAAAGAGGCATCGGCTCAGCTCAAGTGCTTCCAAAAGCTCTGTGCATGTCATGTTACCAGCTTCATCTCCTTCAGAATCAGCTGCAGCTCTTGCATTTTCTGCTGCATCCTTTATTTGGAGCCATTCAAGACTAGTATTATGAATCACTCTACCCTGCATTTTCCAAGTAATAGAAGAGAATGAATCTGGTATGGCCTGATAGCTGAGGTGTGCTGATGAAGTCAAGGGCACACCTGTGGGGTTCGAACTCCCAACCACTTGGCAAATTCACAATCAAGACGTTCAGATTGTGTTGCCATTCTTGTTGATGATATCTTTATAACAGCTGCTGCCTCCTTTGGAAGAGTATCATCATTTCCAAAGTGACGGAAAAAGGCGAAGAAGACAACTCCCCCAGAATGTACAGTTACCTACGCGCACGCAACTGAGGAGAAATTGAGGTAGAAATTAAGATATTAAAAAGTTCACACATTTTTTTCTCTAATTTGGAATTTCGAAAAAAGGTCAATATGATATTTTCCCAAAACGTAATCATATTTATTGAAAATGCTGCTGACACGTGGATAAATAAAAGGGTAGGCATTAATGCCAAACACTTAAGCACCTGGTGGAAATATTGAACAAAGCTTCTATTATAATTTGAACAGTTACGAACATGTTCAGAATCATACTCTCCCAATATATGTCACGCTGGGTTAAGGTAAAAATAGTAGGATCGAGTTATACTTGAATAAATGAAGCTGAATGAAAGGTTGGAAAAGGATATCGATATGAAGCACGCATTTTGGCCTCTATATACCTAGTTTTGCACATAAACCAGTATAGAAGATGACGAACCTCAAGAGGTTTGTTCATGTCGTCCTCAGAATAGTCATTGCTGCTGCTGTATTCAACATGATGCACTGAAGATAGCCTATCCCAGGAAGAGGAGCTTGATTCAACATCCAGCATGGCAGCTTTACCAAGCCTTTCTGACAAATTGATTTCTGTTGTTTCCTCATGAAGGGTATCACATTTTGCTTCTCCAGGGCTGAGCAAAGAGATTAGCATAACAAGGTCACTTTTGAAAAAACATTACACTTGTACTGCCTCAGGGCCTATTTATAATAACTTGTTTTTTATAAATAGGCCTGGAGACAGTACCTTGGCTGCATGCACCTCACCACACCCCCCCCCAAAAAAAAAAAAAAAAAAAAATCACTCCATTCGAAAGTAGTAGCTGGAAGCTGATTTGTTTGTCGAAAGAAACAATACAAAATAGAAGGCATTATCAAGTAGTTCTGTTTACTTCCATGTATCAGTGAAAACAAATTTTATGATCACGATTACCTGATAAAATGTATATTAAAGAAACAGAAACTCACAATATAACACTACAGAAAATATGTAATGAGCAAGGGGAGGGGAATTAGGAAGAAAGAGAGTAACCTAGAAGCAGGCATAGTGTCAAGTGGCCTCGTATGGCGGTGGGGCGAGCCAGAGGAGCGATACATGGCGGTTCTTTTGCGGACCAAGTCCAGCCATTCGGTGAAGCTAATGGCAGGCCCTGACGTGATATCTCCCAACATAAACAGCACCTGCATTGCCCCAACACAAACCACCCCCCCCCCACCCCAAAAAAAAAAAAACCATGTGAGCTCCAAATTTAAAGAAGCGTAGACGTGCAAAAGCACAGATACGTGACAAGACACGTCACGAATTCAACAAAGCAACAAAATACAGTGTATTCAAATTGATTTAAACTTTCGTGTTGTATCTGATGTGTCCATTGGAGTGGGATGCTTCGTATAAGCCCAAAAAAGAAAAGGAAGGGGGGCCGTAGATGTTGGAGAATCGAAGTCAGCTGAGTGAGATGCAGACCCGATCGGAAGCGTCAAGAGGAAATGTGATCTTAGGCTCCTCTTCTTCGTCACTGCCCTGCAAATCCCGCACATGATAAGCAAAAGACGATACAGAATCACATTACAGGCAGGATGATGGTATTTAATTGATCGATGTGATATGCTCAAGCTACATTCATGTGATTATATATATCATTGGCGTCGTCATTGTTGCTTCTCTTTACGTATCTTTGTATAGCCAGTCATAGATGAAAGGGAAGGTTAAGGTGGCCGGTGTAAACCTGCTTTTGCTCTTTTTGGCATTTGCTGCACACACAGTCGATTTGATGGTGAGAGATGAGAATATTGCACGGAATAGAAGCCAAAAAAGTTGGCTCAATTTAAATTTAGAGACCACGAGGTAGAGCAAGAATCGGTAAGATTTTCGCTCCTCCGAAATGAATACGTCCACTATTCACAATGCAAGGTTTGGATTTAGCAGTAACACCCTGAAGTTCAGGGCTGAACTAATTAAAAGCTTTTAATTTCGTCTAGGACGATGACGATCTCAAATGATGTATATCTAAGCTTTGTATTATGAATAGCAATCAAATTCGAAATATTAATATAAACAGAACTTTATACGATGTCTTGTTTTTTATAAACAAAATAATAAATTTCAAAAAATATTTATGATATATTTTTTAAGTTGCCCTTAAATAAATGATAACATTATTAAATTAGAGAAAAAATGGAGTAAGGATTAATGGTGAAAATATTTTAATCTAAATTTTTTAACTTCATATATAAGTATTAGAATTAAATAATATTTTTAATTGCATGAATTAATTTAAATTTTCACAGGAGTTTGTAGCTTCCTTATCTTAGGTAATATGTTGAGCTAATGTTAATGCTTCTTTCTGCAGGGAAAGGATGCAAAGTCGGTGGGTGGGTTGGCCAAAAAAGTCGGTGGGTGGTGAATAGATGGGGAAGTTTGTATTTTGGGTTAAGCCTTTGGAGTGGGATGGCATAGATTCAAAATTTGTTTGCCAAAATTAATGGGAATTGAGTCTAGCCAAAAATAATCAAAATTTGAATTTTCATTGAAAGATATATTTGAATTTTAATGCTTGATGGTATCTCTAATATGATTGCTTCCTATAGTGCAAAATAAAAAAAAAAATTGTATCCCAAAGTAAGGTAATAATGGTAAGCCAATAACAATGTATGCATATGCATTATCTTGGAAAAAATTGTCTTCATTCAATTATCTATTCTCTAGCATTTCATCACCAACTTTAAGCAACAACGCATGTGTAATATTAGACGCGAACAGAGTACGAAGGCTAAAAGGGATAAGCTGATGGACAGTTCTACAAAGTGAAAGTGAGATGTCTTTCAAAAAGATTGAAGAAAACAGAAAAATGTTGTATGTAACAGTTGATGGCAGAAAGGGAAAGCACAATCAAAGGTGTGGCTGGAAGCAGAGAGCTCGTGTGCGTACGATACATATGAAAGCCAGAAATAGTCACCTGAAGGTGACTCTTGGATGAAGATGAGTGAGGTTCTTCACTTTTGGAGTGTTCAGAGATCAGAATCCAGAGCATGTTTTATACTATTTCTTGGGAGCGTGCTTGATGGAGGACAAGTGTTATAACATGTTTCATATTCCAAATGATATAACTAGTCCCCTCCATGTTCTGTCATGGATGGCACGTTATTCCCTTTGCATTTGACACTGATTGTGCTTGGAGATTCTGAGGTCTGACTTGAAGCTTCATACCAATCTTCTACTGATACTGACGTAGATATACAATGACTAATGCACAGTTCAGCTTCATGATCGTCCTGATAAAAGCCGAAGTCTTGTATATACATTCACAAAAGCAAAGGATTACTACCATCAAACTTCAAGCATCGTAGTTATAAAAAATTGGGAGAATAGCAGTAAAGGATCTGGAAGCAATTTAATAAAAAAATTTCTAATAAGTAAATATTAACAATTAACAAGTGAAGTTCTTGTTTTAATAAATATCCAATCTCTCTAAATTCTTGTTAAATATTAAATTCTTTAAGAGATACTAATATTCTGCCTAGAAAATTTGTAAATTTCCAACTTCTAAATCATACAAGTTTCAAATGAATTTACAACAATTTGATTGATTATGTGCGCGGAAGGGAGAAAATGATATCACGTTATTTTGTCTGAACGATGCATTATTACATGTGACAGCCCAACAAGCAAACAAGCAAGCCCTTGTAACAACACATAACGCCTATTGGAGGAGGAAAGTGAAGAAGAAAAACTCACTTCTTTACATTCTTGCTTTGACATACTGCACAGTTAACACATTACTTGGTAATAATTAATAACTATGAAACGACTGCCTTAATTACAATCTCAAGCTTAAGATCAGAGAAACACTTAAACATTAACAGAGTGTCACAAAATATCAGCAGGTAGAGGCCTGCCTTCCAAGAATGACTTGAACAGCGTCAGCGATCTCTCAGGCTGCGAAAAAGGAGCTTCATGGGAAGCACCTCTTATGGTTGCAAATGCCAGCTTATTATCCCCATAAACTTGAGTCCACCCTCCAACCTAACCCCATAGTGTTAACTTATGCATTAGTTTTGCTTTGTGTTGAGTACAAAATGTGCGTAATAAAGAGCATAGTGGAATCATAATATCAGTTTATAGTATCATAAAATGTGGGATAACAATGAACCAAACGTCTCTTGATTGAAACTCAAGTATGTACCTGTTGACCTTCGAACCATACTCTGTAAGGAACAGTAGTATTCAGTGCCAATTGCCTTGCTAGTTTCTGAACCAAGGTACGGCTACCAGTTAGTGGAATTACAGAATCTTGATCTCCACTGTAGTCACAAAATGAAAGACATGATCATGTTTAGCTGTAAAGCGTACGACAAGATCTGTAAGAAGAAAAGAAAGAGCAGTTATTTTTAGTTACCTGTAAATTAAGACCTGAACTCCAGCTTTGACCAGTGACCCAACAAGAGGGAGTGTAGCTACTTCCAGGTTGAGCATATCGTAGTCCAGGATGCTGTTGAATGAGCATATTGAATCATGTATTTATTAGAAAAGTGAAAACCAAGGCAAGATTTTTAGCTGAGAAATTAAAGAGATTACTTGCTGCAGACATCCCACTTTCGAACTCCAACAAGTTTGGCATGAAGTGCCTCCTGAACATCCCTTCGGTTCAAGTAATTTGTAACTTTATCATCAACGCATACGTCTATCCTCTCACTTGTTTGCTGTGAAAACAAAAAAGGCTAAATCTTAAATCATAGTGAACAAGCCAGTTTGCAGAGAAAGTGTGGGAGAGAAGACTCACTTGTGTTTGAGGACAGATGACCTTGGTCTGTGATAGAACTGAGGAAATGCAGACATCAAGCGTCACATCGTATTTGTCCACGAATTTACTCGTTTCTGTGCTTACTTGGCTCATGACCTTTGAACAAAGAGGCGAGACTGAGTCTCTGTAGTACTCGCTAACGTACCGAGAATAATTACACTCTCTGGTGAACATTTTGTACGTTGAATCTGATATCAATCCATGAGACCAGAAGAATTCGGCCCTTGAGTTGAAGTCTGTGGCGTATTCTAGAACCGGATTACCCAACTGCAAAAACAAATAACCATTTTCGCATTAGCGTTGTCCAAGTTTCAAGTCCAAATAGTTCAAGCCTATGTTACTTACAGCTATGCCTTTAAGGTTAAATATCTTTTCCTTCTTGTTAAGGTCAATCATGAGTTTTGCAAGTTGAGGAACATAATGCCCTAATATTGAGAAAGAAAAATGTTAAGAAAACATTTGGAAATTGGAATTAGAATTCCAAAAATGATCGTTGGAAGTAACAGAGGTACCTGCGTAACTTTCCCCAGTAAGAAACAAATCTCTCTGCCTGTATTGAGGGAACTTGTTGAGCCAGAGCTTCAGAAACATGAGATTGTCCCTGGCTAAAGAAATCAAGAACACTGCTTCAGATGACAAAATAATGACTGTTTCGAGTACACTAGGACTGTATTCTTGAAATAAATAGTACATAATTTCTAATGCTACCATTGGGATTAACAGGAAAAATAATAATGGAAAGCGCCAAAGAAAAAGTTGAGAGGAATTTCGTCATTAAACACTGTCTTGTCTCTCTAACTTTTCATACTGAATGTGCCTTTGTCCACAGATGCTAAGATTAGAAAAGGAGCTTTTCTACAGAGAAACCTTAATTGTGCCAAAAGACGGGAAAAGGTTTCTAAAGTAATTAACATTAGCTGAAGAAGATACCAGTTTCCTTATCGTCCACTGTCATGTAAGATCCGTCTTTAGCATAAGAAAATCCCACACCAATTGGTGTCTCCAAATATAGCATGTTTGCCTCTAAAACACCAAATAAAGCAACCCGATGAGAAAATGAAATAATTTTGGCCCATCTTTCCGTCAAAATGAAAAATGGGATACCATAACAGAGTACCTTTGTTCCAGCTGTAATCATTCTCAATCAGAACTTCACCATTTGGTCTAAAGGGTCCATTTTCAGAGAATGCTCCAACCCCAAGTGAAGAGCAGCCAGGTCCTGCGTAAAAGAGGAATCAGCTCACTCACACATTGTCTGAACATTTTTCAATTAAAAATTCTGGTCATCTGAGAGATTCCCGACCTCCATTGAGCCAAAGAACAAGAGGCTTAGAAGCAGGATAAGTTTCGGATTCAACAAAGTAGTAGAACAAAGCTTTATGTTTCTTGTCATCAACCGTGACATATCCTGAGTAATGTTGGAAACGTACGTGGGGTTGTCCGGGAAGCCGTAGAATCCTATCTGGGTGAGACGAGAGAGAGAAGACGGGCATACTTAAGCTCAAATGAAGCAACACTAGAGCCATAGCTATGGTATTCGATGCTGTGAAGTCCATTGTTTCACGAAAGAAGAGAGGAGAAAGTGAGGGAAATAGGCGACAAAGCAAGAGATCAGACGAAGTATTTAAAATAGCAGCGAGAAGCAGGGGCATTGGGTTGAGACTTGACTTGAAGTATTTAAAATAGCAGTGAGAGTGTGGGGGCCAGTTCTAGGTGGCTGGACCTTCTCTATTCTGATTATCATTATAGTTTTAGCTTTTTGGTTGCAGGCCTGAAAATGGTGAAATTGGTGTGGAAAGAGATGTGAGAGAGGTATGTCCCGTGTGCTGGGTCTGTTACTCTGTTTGTCCACATCCATCATTATTTTTTCTTGATTATAGCAAAATTGTCCCTGAATTTCATTAAACATAGTAATTATTTAGTGTTTAACTCTATACTTTTTTATGCAATTTTTTTAAAAAAATATACTGAGGAAGGCAGGCTGAGTCAGCATGCAAGTTGGTGATATGAAAACGAAATGAGGTATAAGCTGCCGCTGCCACTGAAGGATCCTGAAAATATTCTCAGAATTACGGAGCATAGATCCATTTTTTTTCATATGTGCTTTTTTCCCCTGCTGATGCACCAACCACAGTTACCTTGTATCCCCCTTTTTTTATAAGCAAATACCTTGTATCCCCTTTGACTACACAAAACAGGGGGGAATATGTCTTCCTTTGAAAATGGCTTTACAGCATTAGCTTTTCTTTCCTCAGAAAATGTGTCAAAACTCAAAATGGCTACTTAAAAGGATTTTTAAAATGTGAAGCTGGATGTTGTATTAAAAACACTGCGCCTGTGAGAGAGAGAAAGAGTACTTGATACTTGATAGGATCTCGGAATGGAGGGTGTAAAGAGAGATGGACAGTTATATTTGCGATTTTCCAAAAAATTTGTTTGATTGATCAACTTTTCTTGTTCTACAAGTACGAGTAAGATCTGCTTACTGACAGTGGGTTCAGTGTGAAGATTCCAAGCAAAATAGAGCGATCCTACTTCCCTGTATTTTAAAAATTGAAATACATTAGTGACTTGTCAGGTACGCTTGACAAATCTAAAGGTTACTCAATTGCTTCATTGACCTTAGGAAATTTTTATTGTTCATTTATATATAAAAGACCTTCCCAGTTTCCCTTCTTTTATTTACTTTCATTCAAAGAATCTTTAATGCCTGAGAATTGAATATGATATGTGGTCAAGGTTTTCTGTAGGACCACAACATAGTGCTTCTAAAAGAACCAAATGCGGAGGCTTTTAGTGAAAATTTAGTTCCCACCTCTTAATTAACTTTTTGCTCGTGGTGGTTAAAGACTTTTCTTTCCGTTCTTATGTTGGGATGGACTTCTTCTCTTTGACCACTTGTGAAAAGCCTTTTCTATTTCAATAATTATGGTGTGACACCTTTGCTTCTTTTCTTCTAAGAAAACCCTTTTGTCCCATGATACAAAAAAGCTTATAACTTTAGGATCTATCTAATCTTATTAAAAAGTATATTAGTATTTTCAAGGTGGCCGGCTCTTTCTGTGTGCTTTAATATTTTTCATATTTGAATTTTGTTGGGATAATTCATACAAACATTACTCTTCCTTTTATTTTCAAGGAATATACATGTAAAACTTACATATATTTTTTTATTTCCAAATTTATATTTTTTCTGAAACAAAAAAAAATAAATTATAATAATATTATTTCTATTTTAAAATATATACAAATCCATCGGCTAAGGAGGACTAAACATAATTTTCACAGTGCTTGTTGTTTTACATGCACTTAAAATTAATTCAATTTTTTTTAACAAAAGAGAATAAAATGTTATGTAACCGTAGTAAAATTCACAATACTATGGATTTCCATAAACTTTTCTTCAAAAACCATGTAAACTTTAAAAATAAAAATTCATATTAACCTAAGCTTTTTTTCCTGTAAATATGCGTGTATGTATATAATCAGTGTAAAAATTAAATATATATCTGGAAATATAACATTTGCATGAAGATTAACCGCATTATTCAATATTCAATGCTTATAAATCAAATTACAAGGCTAGGGTGAATGATAGACAAGTGCATTGACGTCAATAATTGATGGGGCGAGGACTTAAAATGTTGAACACAGCCACCAGAGAGTACGCAACAAAACTCAATTTGCTTTAGCGGACAAACTCACATCAGAACCACATGGAGATGCGAATGGAGGCACATGTTCCCCACAGTGCCTTCAAGCCCCTCCACGCCACTCACTGATCATCACTTTTACAGTTCACACCTTCCACATAATAGCTGTATTTAACTCTGTTCTTGTCACCAAATACCCCAATTTATGGATGCTTATGTTCGGGCTTTCATTCCCATGGACCCAATCTGAAGAAAACCAGACGTCATTCTCATATCATTCATTTACTATTGTAAATGGACCACCCTGTGTCTAACCGTATGAAGATAGATTTGTATATAAAAGTGTAGGTAGGGTGTGATTTTTTTCGTGGCTTGAGGATGAGAAGGAAAAGTTTGAGATGAAAGAGTGCGGATAAACCAACCAACAAACAAACAAGAAGAGGACAAATCTGAGGATATTGTATGGTGGGTTCTGTTGTTGTATGTGCTGCTCAAAGGAGTGGGAAAGCAGATGAATGGACCCTACGCTGCAAGCTTTTTCAAAAGGGCTTCAGGTTTTTCATCATTAGCTGCACTACTCTCACTGATTTCTTGGTATCCCTCTTTATTCTCTTCCATATGATATTGCCCCCTTGTACCCAAATTTCAATTCTGGAACGACGAATAGGCATCTTCTCTTTTTTTTTTTTTTTTTCCTTCTTGGCATTCTTCTTCGTCTGACAAGATGTTTTGTTTTGCTCTAGCCAATTTTTCAAAAAATCATGTAATAAAGGAAAACAAACAAAATAAAATCCATTGCCGACGTCAGTATCCTGTGCCTAGGATTTACTACTAAATACTATCCGTTGATGCAAACATAGTAGTCATTCAAGAGTTAATGTGCAAGGAAACAAATTTGCAAAAAAAAAAAAAACAGAGAGAGAAGAAGAAGAAGAAATAATTATGATAATAAAAAACGAAAGATTAGAGCATGAAATAATTTCTGAAGGTAAAGATCTTATTTACCCCATGATGACAAAAGGGACGAGCGGTTTTAAGTTTAGAGAAAGAGAGAGCATCAGGGTTGGAAAATGTGAGGGAGAGTGATAGAGAAGCGTATACTAAGCTTGCTTTTGGAAGCTTGTGAGAGGAGCAGAGGGGATGCCTTTTTGGTTTCTTTTGCAAACCATCTTTTATGCGGAGAGGGCCTCGTTCAAGATAGACGAATTAGAAAAAGGAGAGTGGAGAAAAGGTGATCCGCTTTTAGTAATAAAATAAGGAAGCATCCCTGCTTTTCATGATCAAGGGGTTGCAATGCGAGTAGCCACTAACAGTAGTGTGATGTCCATTTCAATGGGGTTGGTTGGCTTGCTAAAAGGGCTTAACTTTTAACATAAACAAAACCGCGCGTGATTCAGCACCATACCATACCATACCATTACCAACTGAGTATATATCCAGATTTTCTGCAGCGCCCACAGTCACGCTCCTTATGAATTTTGAGGCCTAAAGGCATGGGTTCTTCTATTAATTAATTGGCATTTCATCATCATTATTGTTAATTGTTATTGCTAGTGCCTGGGAGAGGGTTCCATAATATATCCACTTGTGAAGCACAGTATGAATGCTGAGACGGTTCGTGCTTTGCGATGCACGATTCTGACATCACTACAAGTATATGGCTGCCTTCTAATTAAATGTTAGATCTACCTTGTAGTGCTTAATAAAAATTACCTACTTAAATATTTTAATTGAGAAATACGAATAAATGTGCCAAATTTTTTTTTTTTTTTGTTCTCAATGAATGGGTTTTTCTTTCGACAAAAGAAAGAGAGTGTAGAGCTGGAAATGAGAAGGGATGTGTGTGTGTGTGTGTGTGTGTAATTCGGCTTTTTTTCCCTGGCGACAAACAAATCTAATTCGTCAACCTATAAGATTGGGAGCATAAAAAAGCTATAAAAGGAAGACGGGGCTAGACTGCAGGGTCACCAGTTCACTGCAGCTCACCATTCACAACTAGCGTAGGACCGTTCCATTACATGCGTGATCCATGATTCTGGAGTAGGATCCAGGTCTGAGCATCCTTAGGCCAGAGAATTACACGCTATTCAAATTCACGTTCAAAACCCTACGTAGGTTTCTTCCCTTTTCTCTCGATCAAAAGAAAAAAACGCGCGAGCCCCCCTCCTTCGAATAGCCAAAAATGTCCTTTCATGATTATATTTGTTGGTACTTTCCAGCTCAAATTAAAAATTGCAAGGAAATTTTAGTTTTTCAAAGGTTATTATTTAGGAAACGCAGCGATTGCAGTTCAGCACCATAAAGCACTTTAAGTGAAAAATTGTGATTATATTGTCCAATTTGCTGTTTCATTTCTAGGTTGGAAAAAAAAAAAAAAAATCTGTCCAGGTAGGAAGTTGATACCAAGATAACTTAGACTAACGGAACACACAAATACATTAAACCGGAAAAACAATAATGGCCGCCGGCCGCCGGCTGCCATACTTGTGATTTTTTTTTTCAATATACAACAAACTTGTGAAATTTTCATCGCACAACAAACTGATTGGACTTCTAGAAGCGCAAAATTAAACAAAAAGAATCATAATATATATTCAGTTTCAAAAATACAATCAGCAACGTCTCTCTTGTAATGTACCCGTTCTTGCTTTCTTTGTATGCGATCCAAATATAAAGGTGAGTGACAACAGTGTGCAGGAAGCAGGTGGCAAAACGCATATACATATGGAAAAAAGAATCAATCAACAAATAAAAGCTACCAAAATCACCATGAGGCTTCCGGCTCCGCAGCAGGCTTATGATTAGCAACTGTGGATCCTGGAAGCTGATCAATTTCTTTTCGAGATGCTTCCCAGAGCTGCTGTTCTATCCCCAGCTTTCTCAGCTCAAACAAGCCTCGCTCGACTGTCATAAACAATGAAGTGAACTTACAAGTTCATAAACAAATATAAGAACATCTTTAACCCATCCATTTGAGTTTAAATTGGAGCATGACAAACGTAGCCAAAATAAGTAAAATTCCACTGCCCGTAGATTTCATAAATAGTCAGCAATCCAGCAACCAATATCAGCAGTTATGTTTTTTCGTTGGACTCCGTTGCACAAGTAGGATAAATTATGGTCCCCGATATATTTTAATACAGGGAAATCTAAATAATACCCAAGCTATGCATGTGTTTCCAGATGGTACTGGCGTGATGGTCCTTTCCATTGATCGATCAGTATCAAGTGTGATAACTTGTAATAAATGCAAAAAAAATTTTGCTAACACCAGTTCAATTTCTTTAAAGGACAAAAAAAAAGGAGAATTTCAATTAAGGATCACGATAGCTATTTAATTACAAGTGGGTCTAAAAAAATCATGAAATTTTAGTTCAGTCCTGGGAAAAGAAATCAAAAGAATTTCGACAATAAAAAGACCAAAATATTTTTCACTTATTAAGAATTACTGGTTGTTAATTTTTTTTATTCTACTTATTAATTTACTAATACGAATTACAAATTACATCCATTGGCATGTCAATAATTATATAAGATTTGACATCAATTATCCAATCATAACAGCAACATTAATTATTAAATTGTTATCTTTACTTATTAATTTACAAACATCAGTTATAAATTATTAACAAGTTTTATAATTTACTAACATCATTTATATATTGCTAACAAGTCTTGTAATTTACAGCTAATGTTAATAAATTAATAAGTAAAGTTAGTAAATTAACAACTAATATCACTAATTTATTAATAAACAGATGTGAAGTGAGATTGGTAAATTAACAGATGAAGTGAGAAAATTAACCAGTGATTCTATGTGACAAATGAAAGGTATTTTAACCTTTTCACTGTTAAAATTCTTTTAACTTTTTTCCCTTTGAACTAAACTGAAATTTCAAAATTTTTTTGGACTCAACAGTAATTAGGTAACTACCATAATCCTTAACTGAAATTCTCCCAAAAAAAAAAAGGTATAGCTACCAATTTTAGTGTCTAGCACCAGGGGAAAGAAAACGATCAATACATTTTAAAGTGTACTCCAGGTTTAGGTCAAACCAGCAAAGGAAGTAGTTGCCTGATAGCATTTTCTGCAAGAATGATACAGCATGCTTTTTCACTCATTAACTACAATATGCAATGAAAAGGCAAGAATGTAAAAGGCGATGAACAGCAGACAATTCATAAGTGCATGCCTAACCTAACAACCATATCAGATTTGCTAGGCATGCCTTTTATAAACCAGTTTAAGAACCTGAGCAAAAATTTTAATTTAAACATAATCCAGCATGACTTTCTAGTACCACACTGTAATATGTGCAGGGCCTTCATTCCACAACATTTGGCCAATTCACACGATTTAAAAAAGGACAAAGTCACAGAACTACTTCCTTTTAATTCCACTCACAATTTGCTCTCTTCACAACTAGATGATAATATTGATAAGGCTTACCATCAACAGCATCATGTGAAGTTGTTGACTGACCACTGCGGGTAATCCAAAACTGAAGCCGCTCTTCAGCAATATCCTCTTCTACACCATGAACTAAGGCTCTTCTCCAAAAATAAGTTAGCCATGCCTGCAAATATTTAGAATTTATAAATTGGATGTAATAAGTTATACGCGCAAGCCATATTTCACAAACAATTCTTTGAATCTAACTCCACCATGAAATCAGGCCAAAACCAGAGCTTCCGTGGGAACCTCCATTTTAAGTATTCGTTTCACAGGATCAATTTTAATGGATAAACACACAACGAAACAATAAACTGAATTTCTTAATCGATAGATCTGTCTTGAAAAGAAGGGGGGAAAAAATAAAAAAATAAAAACTGATATCTCAAAATAAATTATTGCAAATTTTGTCATATCAATGCGTATGCCCCTGTAGGCTGTAATACTGGACATTCTCATCCTTTCTATATACTAAATATGGGAATGGGACGAGGGGAATGTGCTATAACATTGTATGGGTGCGCAAGTAACAATTCCACAGAACTTGGGCCAAGAGCAAGGAACTGACCTCTTTAAAAAGAACATCTTCTGCCTCCTCTTTGCATAATTCTGTACGAAACAGCATGACAGAAAATCATCAGACTGACTGAATCATCTGCCAGGCATGCAACTAAAAGAACAAGAAACTTTATGTAAAGATCAGAAAGGGTTAAATTACTCTCCCCTCCCTCAAAAGATGTCCAAATTACATGTCCCTCTCCTTTGTTTTTTTATACACGTACCTTTCTCAACAAACCTGAAACTGTGTAACAGTAACACTTGCCTCACCCACATCAACCCCATAAGCAACAATTATATTTATTTTTGACAAAAATGGCCTCATCTATTACCAATATCAAATAAGAAGTATTAAATATATATTTGACTAATATAGAAGTTACTTTTCTAAATTTAACCAACTGTAAAATCATTTGACAATGAAATTAAATTAATTAAATAATTATTAAAAACAAAAACCATCTCACAAAATAATATTCTAAGGTGAACCAATTTAAAGATTATAATTAATAGTGCTTAATTTCAATAATGACATTGTGTTAAATATATATTCATAATCACTATTCACTAGCATTCTTATAAATAGAGAAGAGAGTTGTGTAATTTGCCCAAAGGAAGGGATAGTAATTTCCTCTGCAATAGAATATCTAATTGACATATGACGTATGAACCATAGATGATAAAAGCACAGATGTCTAATATATTCTCTTTAACTTTTAGAAAAGTAAAAGCCCGTCAAATTAAACACTAAGGTGAGGACTGACAACTTATTTCTTACCAAATGCTTCCACAAATTTGGGGTCACCAGGTGATTTGGAATCTGGAAAGAAAAATAAGAAATATACACATTATCCAACCATATTATGATCAGGTAAATATACACGTTATTCAACCACATTTTTTCTGTCCCTTTTTATCAACATTTCTTTCTTTCATACCCTCAGTATGTCATGATATACTTGATGAATTAGTTGTTGATACAACAACAACAACAATGAGATCTCTCAATTAATAATATTTTTAAAAAGCTTGGCTGATAATAAAGTATAATAGCATCGTGCAATTTATGTAGCCGACCCCACCAAGCTTTTAGAATTAGTTGTTGATAGTGACTGTATAATGTCATACAATCAATACAGCCAACCTCATTTAGCAACACAAGGGTTCTTGTTGTAGTCGCTGTTGTACCGTGTCACCATATTCATCTCTAATATCCACGTTTTTCTTTAGAAAAATAACTGATTTAAGCATAGTTGGTAGGTCTAAACAACTTAAGGAGGTTCTATACACATTTTATTTTATTGATAGGGTTTGGACTGGTTGTGTGTCATTCCAACACGCATAGCCTAACGTCTCCACAAGTCCTAGTAGAATCTTTACGTCTTAGATTATTACAGTCTTGACCGTGTTGACGTGTTCATCTTTCAATCCCAGAAGATTTAGAATCATTAAAGGATCATGGTTACCAGCTTACAATCAAGATCTAAACATTAGTAGTTAATAAAACTACAGTAAAGCCTAAACTCAGAGAAAATGCAGAACAAAGAATGAACAGAAAATGGAAAAAAGAACAGTAGAATATGGCACAGGATTGCCTGAGATAATGAATAACTGAATAGATCTCGGAAACCAAATTAAATTAAATATTAAAAAAATTGACAATTAAATAAGAGGATGAATAAATTAAGATACCTAAAATGGAATGCCGAACCAAATTTGGGCGTCTGTGCTGGGCTAATGCAAGCACAACAGCATCCTCAACCTAAAGTAAAGATTTTTATCAAAATGAATTCAATGAAAAGGAAAAGGAAGACTAGTACGCCCCAAAAAAATCTGAAAGACAGAAAGGAAATCAAATTTCAACCAAACAGAACACGATAGAAATTTATGGTTACTTAGAATCCATGTTTTGAGAAAGTAATTGGCTTAAAAATATGCATAGTATCTAAGATATCCAAATGATAGTTTTAAATATTAAAAAAAAAAACGAACTAAGCATTGACTTCAATGATGTTATCAGAGAACCTTTAGAGAAGCAAGTTCTCTTAAACCCATTTCGACTGAAAGCATGCTCTCAATATTTCCTTCCCCTGTGAGATCACTCAAGTCACGAACAACTTTGCTCCTATCTGGATCATCAGCACCTGGATGATGCAATTTAATTAGACTTCAATTTAGCTAATATAGGAGAGAAAACAAGTCGAATTAAAATTTTAAGAGTCTACTCACTTTTGTTCCAAGATTCCTCCTTAGCCTTTTGTCCGGCAGAAATGACAACTTCAAAAGGAAGAGGAGCAACAGAAGACCAATGTTCATGCTTGGACTGTGCTACATCAGCACAAATTCCTACAAAGTGAGGAAGAAACATCCCTTAGAATCACTAGTACTTTAATACCAACAGGCACAAGGAATTTTTCAAAACATTGATCATCAAGATTTTGTAAATAAACAATCTCAGATAAAAGGATTGAACCCTTGATTTAAGTTTTTTTTTTTTTTGGTTGTAAAGCAGACAAGAGAATGCAATAACATAAGAATTTCATTACCATATTTTACAGCAAGACCCCAATAGCGAGCAAGCCAACACCTCTTCAACACAACTTCCTCCTAAAAAAAGACAGGAAATGTAGGAAGACAGATAAACAAAAGTGAATAAGTCACTAATACTCCTTTCATAGAGAAAAATACAAACCATTTCTTCCTGGGTCAAAATCATTCTCTGAGTCATCGTACGAAGAGCCTTTGCTTCAGATTCTGCTTCTCGCTGTTGCTCGACAGCTGTTGCAGCATCATCTTTTAGATTCTGATAAAGACAATAAAGAGATTACAGTCTTCTAGACCAGAAAACACTTGACTACAGCAAGTATATTACAATTTTAACAAGAAACAGTGCACAGCCAGTAAAAAAATACCTTAATTTCCACACGAAGGGCAGCAATTTCACCATCTTTTCCATCCCTTGTTTGCTGTGCAGCCTTGAGAGCAGCCTGGGGCAAAAATATTGGTTACTCAAGTAAATTGTTTGAAAGAAGCTCACTGAGCCACTGATGAATCTTCTCGTTTTTGACTCTTTTTGGGAGGGTCTAAATTGCATGCATCGATGACCTTCTTATTCAAATTCCACAATATGAACAAAAAACTCAAATTGGAAATAGCACTTGCTATAAAATTAACATTACAAAACTATCTGCATAACTGAATATGACTCTGGCCCCTTCACATAAATTGCATAAAAGTGCTACCAGATAATGCAAGATCAGAACAAAGGAGAGCTCACAAAGTGGCTTATGAAGCAGCTTTGATCAAAGCAAATAATAATAATAATCATTTCTTGCATATTTAAATTTTATTCATTAAGAATACCTCTCTTTGTCGCAGAGCAGCTTCCTTCCTGCATATTCACCTCACAGAAATTAAAATCTCAAGTGGAGCCAACAAAGAATAAAGAGATTTGAAAAAAAAATTTACCTGCTCAGCAACTTGGCTTCCAGAGATACACCTTCTCCAAGAGAGGCAACCTACCAAGATTAAAATCAAATAGGACAAAGACAATAGAACACTTAAGAATCAGCATGCGGAAAAACAATATGTATTAAGCATACTTTTAACTAGTTCAAACTTCATTCCTTGTCTAGATGCACAGTGTTCCTTGTGAAGTAGAGTAAATATTCAAAATCGGATATTGATAGTATAGCATTAAGCTACTTTTCAATATTTAGTTAGCATCTAGAATAAGTCACCTGTTTTTCAAGTTCCCTAGCTCTTGCCTCTGCTTCTTCACGCCTTTCTTCTGCACGTCTTAGCTGTAAATATAGTAAGGCACATACTTCAACACCTCGTGACACGAATATAAACTAGAAAGCCAAGTATTTTCTGGAATGAAGGAGCAAACCTTGTCCAACATAACCTCATTTTCTTCTTGTAGCATATCAAGCTGTAGTATCAATGAAACAGCTTCAGCATCAATCGTTTAAAGATTGTAATAAACAATCTACCAAAAATACAGTTCAAGAGCCATATTTGCCTATATAAGAATCATCAAAGTTAACCATGGAGACTAAGTTATTGCATGTATACTGTACTTCATCACGGAGTGCAGAAGCTTCACGCGTATCTCCGATGCCTTTTGGGTTAAGTTGCCCAATATCCGATGATAACCTAAAATCATTGTCCAAGGATAAAAAGTTCATAGAGGCACACGTCATCCACAGAATAACAAACATGCACGAGAATCACATGATTTGTCCTTCATATTTATGATGCTTTTGTTGAATAGTTTTAACTCATTCCCAACAAGCATTCAAATCTCAAAAAATTATATAACTCATTATAAACAGCGGACATATCTCTACCTTTTGTGATCTCTATTTCGATTGGACGGAGGATCGATAGGAGGTATGGCCATTGGCGTTCTAATTGTGGATTTGCTGGGAGGTACCAACGTTGTCGTGCGAGCAGACACTGCTGGTCTGCCAGCTGAAGTTGAACGAACTGACTGAGCATGCTCTACAAAGTTCCGACCTAACTAATAAAAAGATAAAACTCTTATTAGCTAATTAGGAGCACCATGACACCTAGTGAAGAAAGCCACACACTGCCAATTTTCAATATGTATAATTCGGGGGGGGGGGGGAGAAGAAAGAATATATTCAGGTCATGCATCAGTAAGCCAAATAGTCAAAATAAAAATTTCCCCGCCCAGTTTCGCTTTCCAGAGTCCAACAAACAAATTTAAAGAAATCGCCCTCGTCCAATTTCGTTATCCATAATGCAAAGACCGAATTCAGCAAAATAAAATCATCAACGCATCGGAAACGACGCCTCGAGAAACATTTGTTGCCAGAATTACCGCAGGGGAGGGAGATCTGTTAGGTCTTGCGAGCGAAATCGGAGGGATAGCAGGGATAACACCATTCTTGTTATTATTTAAGTTGCTAGAGTAAGAAGTAACGGCTGGAGGCGTCGGAGCACTGTACCGAAACCCGAGATCATCATCTTCTTCGTCCTCATCGGCCGTCTGAGACGCCATGACCTGAGCCAGACGCTGTGCAGCTGCTTTGGCGGCTACGTTCTGCGTCCGCTTGATGGTCGAGAGGCCGGTGGAAGATGGACCAAGACGTGACTGAGGATGAGCCGGCGACATAGCCGGAGATGATGAGCCGGTGCTACTGGAACCACCGCTCCACTGCCTCGTGTACACCGGACTTGCAGTTCTCTTCCGATCCATCACTTTATGCTATGTATATACAAGTGAAAACGCCCTTTACTCTGCGTAACAGCGTGGAGAAAGACCGAGATTTCCTCGACGCTATATTTTCTCGAGAAAATCGAAGAAAAATAGGACCAACTGCGGGAGGAGGGAGAAACGGGGAGCTCTTTCGAGTCGCGGGGTGGTCAGCGGGGAAGACCTCGTCAAAACGACACCGCTTGCGGAATCCTGGAGTATATGTTAAACTGACAACTGTCCTGACTTGTTTTTCTACCTCAAATGGACAACTATAATTTGGCGGCGGGAAAAAACGGCGTCGTGGTTGCCGAGCTTCGCTTTTGGTGACGTGGAGCACCAAAGCAGAATCGAGATCAAATTCCTTGACTCGACAATGCAATTAATGCTTTTGCAATAAAATGCCGCAATTTAGTCCAACTCCGTCACTCATTCCCAGTGATGTCTTCTTCTTCTTTCTTCTTTCGTTGCCTGAGCATCATTCCTATTTCCTACTATCATGCTGAAATGGTGAAAGTTTAAAGTTTTAATTCAGCTAGTTAATGATCGATGAGTGGAATGGAAGTTACATTAATTACTTGCGTGTCGGGCAAAAGTCACATGGGATGTACTCACTTATCAAGAAAATGATGGAGATTCGGATACCAAAAGAAACACCATCAAATTAAAATGACATTTTACCTTTTAATTTACCTTTATCTTATATGAAAATTTTAACAATCTAATCAATAAACATCTCTGTAACAATTTTTGTCAGAAAAAACTGTTTTAGGACTCTGATTTAAGAGTGCTCATGTACGTTCTCATCTCCATGTCACTACAAGTTTATTCCAATACCTTAAAAAATGTCACCACAAGAAAAGTTCAAGACGGCACAAGGCTAGGATCACTTTTAGGATATCCCGCCTAAATATAATATACTCTCTTTATTTAAAAATATAAAATATTTTTAATTAAATTTTATCTTTTAATAAAATAATTATTTATTTTTTAATTAACTTTATTTTTTCATATTTTCTTAATAAACACTCCACAATAAATATAAATTCATTATTAATATGGATATTTTTAAAAAAGATAATAATTATACTTTAAAAGATTAAAAATATCTTATAATTTTTAACATCTACTCCTTAAAAAATGCTTTTTAACGGATGGAGTACATATTGATATTATTTTATATTAACATGAAATAGTTTATTAATCTTGTGTATATATTCTTCATTGATAATATACATATATATTTCATTTATATGTAGTAGTTTTAAATATCTCAGTTAAAAAGAAAGAGCCAATAATTTGATGTCGTGTCTAACTAATTTATTTAAGTTATGTAACTCAATAATTTTGTTGTTATTGCACTTGTAGCTTAAAAGTTATTTGTGATTGTTGTGTACTTAATTTTAATCTATAATTGTGTTTTTCATATAAAATTATAGTTTGTTAACTCGATGATTAAATTTATATATTTGTGTTATTTTAATTTTGGACTTAAAAAGTTGTGTAATGTGATAAACATTTTTATTCATATCTCTCTTTTACATTTTGCCCACTTTACCGAAACATTCCAATTTCAAACAAAATAAGATGGATAAAAACGCGAAACAAAAATTTAATTCTATTCATTTTTTGAAATGGAACATGGGACAAGGTTATTTTGGTTCTGTGGTGTGAATGCCCTATAGTTTAGTTAAATAAAATTAATTTAAAAGAATTTTAAAAATTGTATTTATTTTTAAGATTTAAAGTTATCAATTTTTTTAAAAGGGACATTATGTAATTTTTCTTATTATTATAATCTTCTCAAAATGTCTCAATAATTTCACTATTGAGGACAATTACAAATACATTTTATATCAAGTAATATTTAAACAATTGTCCCCTAAAATTTCACCTAGCTTCAGATGCTTAGAGCCTATATGTTTTAAAAAAATTATTTTTTAAAAATAAAAAAATTAAAAATTTGTTTGGATAAATGTTTTTCATTTAATTATTTTTAAAATTGCTTTCTTTTTATCTTTAAAAAAATAAAAACATATTATTTTATTTTTTATTATTTTTAAAATACACTACATTTGATTATTAAAAATTATAATTATTTTAACTAATTTTTATTATTAATCACTATCATTAATTGCTTGTAACCTCACTATCAATCCATTTTTTAATGGATTTAACCAAACATATTCTCATTTTATTTTGCTTTGAAAATTAATCTTAGAAAATGTATTATAAAGCAATTTTTACAAAGAATAAACAGGAATAGAAACCAAACACATCCTTATACCTCCAAAACCCTAAGGCGCTGCACGCCCATATTACCGCATTTCAAACGGCATGCCCTAGTTCCTTGTTTGTTCACTCAAGTGTTGAGAACGTAAACCACCACTTTCTTTTCCCAATATGAAAAACTAAACCTCCAAATTCAAATTTTAAGAACTATAAATATAAATTGTTATCATTATCATTAAAAATAAATTAATCTAGATATTACGACTCATTCTGTGTAAGAAACGATACGAAGACTAGCCCACAATTACTTATAAATTAAACGATCACAAAATGAAGACTACCCTTTTATGAGAAAGTCGGCAAAATCACAGTTCAAATTGCAACCTCTAGCCAGGAGTAACAAAAAACAGTAAAGTGAAGCTCAAGATAAAGAAACTCGATGCCTATCTTGAGGGGAAGAGAACATTCGAGGAAAGCTTGTACTCATATCTTGAAGCAAAAGGCGAGTTAAACCAATTGATGGGTCATAAAAATAATAGCTGCACTAGTAACAATTATGCTAAAGTGCCTCCTAGTGAAGGGGAACAAAAAGGGGAAAGAATAGGCGAATTCAATCAACACGATCACACTTTACGCTCACTCGATCACTTCATTACTACACTTTGAGTCGAGGTTTAGGCCATGCATAGGGTGGGTTTGAATGACTAAGCAGCAGCTTTCTTCTGGACAAGTTTCTCAATTAAATCAGCAGCTTCCTGCACTGTTGTGATGTTCTCAGAGCTCTCTTCCTCCACGCTGATGTCAAACTCTTCCTCCAAACCCATCACTATTTCCACCTGCCATAACCACCAACCCAATCTATTTTACCAAAATTAAACCTCCCAACTTGATCAACTAAACAATATCTCATGCTTAATTGCTCACTGCTAACATATATATCAGGCAAGATGCTTTTTTGGTCTTTAAAGGCTGTATTACTATCAATCTATATATCCAGTAAAAATATGATATATATATATATATATATTCGTATCCAACCCAGTACAGTTCAATATGACACGATTAGATCAATTAAAAGGCTTTTATATGCATCTCACATATTTATTGGTGAATCTAACCATAAAAATAAAATTTTATATAATTAGGATTTTCGCACCAAGAATGCTTATTAACGATTTGAAACCTACAGTGTCAAGGGAATCAGCACCGAGGGCAGAGAACTTGGTTTCTGGAGTGAGCTCAGATTCGGGAGGCAGAGCAAGTTGTTTCCTCACAATCTCGCAGACTTTCTGCACTGTCTCGGGTTTTGCCTGTATCGTTTTACAAAATGTCATGAGTTCCTTTTCATTTCCTAATATTGACTTGGAAAGGACACACAAACGTGTGAATAGTATATATCTAAATCAGGAAACCAAACTCACAGCGCAAGATATGCGGAAACGGGAAGTTCTCAAGGAAGGGAAGCTAGTATTTGTCCATCTCACTGACAGAGCCCTCAAACTTGAACTTCTCCAAGAAGCCTGCGTGATTGAAGCATCCAAATAAAGTTTTCTACTTAATCAGCTCTATTTCATGGTCAATACCCTTCTTCTTATCAGCCTATGCGCAAAAGAGAATCAACGAATCACACGCTCTAGTGCCCTAATCAAGCTTTCTACTTAGTAGTTCTAATTCATGGCCAATACCCTTTTCTTGATTTGAGCAAAAGGTTCTGTTGTCTGGGTCTATCAGGAAAGAACATCTGCGAACCACAATATGTACATAGAAAATCTTACCAGTGGCAGGGTGCTGCTACAAATGCAGAACAACTAAAAGATAGAGAACTAACCCAGAGGAATTCGGGTAATAGAATTAGGAAAACACCTCTCAGTAACAACATTGATTATAATTGTTTTGTAAGTAAAATATATAATGTACCAGATTAAAAAGTGCGTCCTAGCGGCAAGTCTAAAGATATATACGTGATTCTGACATTAAAAAAACGAATGGGAATTTAGTGGTTCCCAAGCTCTGTTTGGGGAAATTTCGCGAACACCTTGGGAAGATGAAGTTTTATGCGGTTCCATGCAATTGTAACAGCAAACAGATTCATACAAGCGTAAAATCTCCAAATTATGGTCAGTTCAAAGTCACACTACTGCAATATAACGGAACGCGTTCTACCAAAAAGGTCAAACATTTCAGAAGTGGGAAAACAAAACCCAGCAATGACACATTTAAGAATGACTATACAAGGCGCAAGAGTGGGGCACAAAAATGGTCCAATAAAAAGGGATGAGTTGAGAGTTAAGAATGGAAAACAGAGAAGGGATAATGAACCTGGCTAGTGCTGCTGAAAAGCTTGAGAGAAGTGGCTGAAACAGAGGCCATTGAAGGGAGCACAGAGAAAACGCCAGAAGTGAAATAAGGAGAAAGGAAGTGTTAAGTGTAAGAGATGGATATGGATAGGGTTTATGAACCGGAAAGTGTGAAATACAGAAGCAGCGAGGGTTGTAAAAGGGAGGCATGTCCCACCAAGACCCCAAAGTCGATCGGGCATTGGAAAGATGAGATCACGAGTGGTGCACGTTGCTCTACGGAATGTCGATGCCTATCTAAAACTTACGTGGAAGCTTTTCAGTGGGTCCTCCTTCAATTTAAGTTGACCCTATTGGACTCGATTGACCATGCAAAGACACAGATGAGTATATTTAGTGGGTGCAAGAATGATAGAAAAAGATGGCCGTAAATGAACAGATTAAGGTCCCGTTTAATTATATAAATTTTAGCTCATTAAATGATAATCATATCTCCATTTCGATCTCACCAATATTTGATTATTTGTAAGAGATATGAAATAATTTTTTTAAAAAATATGAAGTATTATATTTTTAGGAATGTGGAAGTCTTAAAAAAGTGAGAGGAATCATGTCAACAAAGATATTTTTATTAACTTTTTATATCTCACACCCCCTTTTTAGGTTTAATTTTATTTATTATTTTCTCCTTATAATATTTTTAATCTCATGGAAAGTATTTTTTAAAGAAGTTTTTGAAGTCATTCAAATTTTAAATTTAATATCCTGTGTATCATATTTATATATCTTTCTTAATTTTACTTTTACAAGGTAAAGTTTAAATTTAAAATAATTTTATTGAAGCACTTTGATATATGTATGCATGTAAGTGTATATAAACATTTGAAAAACTTTTGAAAGAAAAAAAAAGGTAAATGTATTGAGATAAGAAAAATGTGGTTGTTGCCTCATATTAATAAAGGCATTATGGTCTTTATATTGTTATTTATATTTAAACAAATAATGTAAATAAACTCCATTCTCATCTACTTAAGTATTCCACTGAAAAATCTATAATCATGATCATTTTATTTCTTTATAATACCTTCTTTTTCATAAATCAAATGTGAGTATGAAAAACAAACGTGACCTAACTCGTGAAAATTCATACTCATAGTTTACAATTTATTTAATTAAATGTAGGGGAGGAGTGGGAAGAGAATTTAATAGAAAAAACATCAGAGGAGGAACGGGGTGTGTTTATAAAAGGAAAAAATTCCTCTCTGCTTTGTTTTAACCCACTGTGAACATCGGAGTTACTTCCAACCAAATAAAAGAATGGAAGGTTTGTTAAAATTTTCTCTCCCATCAAACAAAATCCTGGAGGCTCTTGATTGTAAATTAAGTATAACTACTTATGAACCTAAGAAACATTAGTCATGATTAATTATAAATATATGATTTTTATGAGTTCATTTTTCAAAATTTATAAGTGACAACATATAAGTTCACTATACTGTTTATCTTCTCATAATTAACTTTCTATGAGTTTATAAGGGACTTTTTCTTAGGCCCCGTTTGGTAGTTTGGAATCATGGAGAAAGAAATGAAATTGGACATGGAATCTGTTAACATGTGTGTTTGGTATGCAATAATTATGATTTTTGGAATCAGGATTCAAGAAATTTGATGGAATCCAATTCCATCATATGCATCATGGAATCCAATTCCATGGATTCTTTTCTCCAATTTGCCCCTTCTCTCTCCTCCAATATAATTTTTTTTAATTTTAAAAAGGACACTTTAGTCTTTTCTTATTTTAAATACTTATATTTATTAAAATTATATCAGGATTCCATCATTATACCAAACACACTTTTAAATTCAATTCTATTCCAATTCAATTCCGATTCCGATTCCATTAAAAACTCTTCCATCATACCAAACATGGCCTTAGTCTACCGTCAACTTTATTTAGGTTCATGAGTAACTTTTATTGACTATCTTATACTTACAGGTCTTTTAATTATAAATAAAAATTATCGTCATTTTATAATATTTCAATAATTTAAAGTTCTCAATTGTCATCCCTGAATTCATAAGGCTCATAATTGCCACTTTATTTACTTGCTATCTTGAATGGTAAGTATAACCCATGTATTTCTTATTTTCTTATCGACCAAGATAAGTTTTGACCAAAAAATTAACCAAACATAATTCAAACATAACTTACAATAATCTAAAAATTCAGGAAACCTAAGAGTCTATAACTTTTCTTCAATACATATGACTTTCTTTTTTGTTAACAAGAGATTATAACTTACCAGCACTACTCATGATTTCAGCCATGATTTCTCTGAGTGCTAAACTTAGGCCACAGGAGAGCTTGAAAGTGAACCGGATCCATTAAAATGGACCGGCCCACTAATCATAGACCAGTACTTTTCAAAGCTCATGTTATGTTTAACGAACTAGCTCCATTATTTCTACCCACAAAAAAAAAAAAAAAAAGCTCTATTATTCAGGCGCGTTGTTGGTCGTAGTAAGACGCAGCACAGCTTCCTTGGTCCAAAAGCAGGGCCAGATATCAAACTGCCACAGTTCTTAAATAATACTCTCCCTCTCAATTAATAAGAAATTTTAAAAAATCATATATATTAATAAAATTTATTAAATATACTTTATAATTTTATTTTTAAAAAATAAAAATATAATCTTATAAAAATACCTGTCATTTAATACTTTTTTTTGTGAAAAAAATTAAAGAGAGAATACAATAAAATATACTATTAAAAACATTTTTTAATAAAAATTTATTTTTATTAAAATATTTTATACTTTAGGATAACAAATCTTTCTAAATGGAATAAAATAAAAATTTGGGTCATTGAATGTAGTGCCTATTTGGATAAGCTATGTTAATCAATTCTACCCTCTCGAGCCATGCTTTTGGGGAAAAACGGCTAAACACCCTTCTTCTTTTATTTTTTTTAAAAAATCGATTGTGCATTAAAAACTTCGTGTTGGTTGAAGTTGTGAGGAAATGCTTATCAATTTCAATTATTACTGTTACTTGCATCGATTGGATGCCTGAACTTTCACCTGCCACGTCAACCTTTCTCATGTGCCATATATACTCTCTTTCTCTCTGCCCGTGCATTGCGTCTTGTCCATCCATCTCCTCCCCTTGCCAAACATATAATGTTCTATTAATGATTAAGTTTTTACATAAATTAAATTATTAATATCATAGTATAATATAATTTAAAATTCTAATTAATTAGTATACAACTATATTTTAAATAATTATATAAATAATAAAGGGATCATTATTATACATATTTTACTTGTTAAATAGAGTTCAACAAATTTAATAATATTATTTACAATTTTATCAATATTTATATTTTAAAAAATAATGTCATTTATGGTAATTTGTACATTTAAAACTGATTATAATTAAAATTATCCAAACATATTCAATTTTATTAAAATTAATTTTAGATAAATAATATTCAAACATAATCATGTTATAATATAATCAATTATAATTAAAATTAATTATATTAATTAATTTTTTTATAATTAGTCATATACAGCTCAAATCTTAACTGACGCTTAGTAATTTAATTTGCAGAATTGCACTTAAGCAAAAAAGACAAATGAAAAAAAAAGGGAGCGAGTTTGAATAGTCTAGAGTCAACGCCGCCAATTAACATGAAAATTGGAGGACCGTTCCCAAAGGGAAGGTCTTGTCGAAGCGCGCGCAAATTCTCTTCCTCGCATGCCCATAACACGTTTCCTTTCCCAACCGCAAATCCTCCAATTTTCACGCTTTACCTTCTGAAACTCAATTAAACTCTCCTCCTCCTTCCCACATTTTCCCCCCTTCTTCAAAAATTCCTGTAAAAGAGAATAATTATAAAGAATAATAATAACAGCCCTTTCTTCTAAAGCTCTTTGATATCTAGCTACCTTCATCCTTATCACCAATGGCTCCTCTAGCCTATGAATCACGTCGTTCTCTAGTCCCCGAGTTTCTATACTCATCAAAAGCATTCTCCCCTTTTGATACATTGACAAGGATGAATCTTGGATCGCCGCGAGCAACGTCGTCCTTTGTTCATAAGGCAGCACCGTCGAGAAGCAGTTTCTTGATCCCAGCACCGTCCGAGAAGATAGCGATGTTTTCTCCGGCTTACTACGGTGCGTGTACAGTCGGTGGGATCCTCAGCTGTGGCCTTACTCATATGACCGTCACTCCTCTTGATCTCGTCAAGTGTAACATGCAGGTCCTTTCTTGTTTGGACACAACTTAAAAAGTTTTAAAACATTTGCTGTCAAATTAATTACAACATATCATGATTAGATATTACTTCATCTATAATTCAACTTTGGTTTTGTTCTCCGCATTTTGATAAATAGTTATTGAATTTCGTGAATTCTATATTGATGATAATGGCTCTCATGGCGAGGAACATCTCACTCCTCGATTCCTTTCACCAATCCAGGATTAGCGTTACACTTTTTCATTTTTTCTCCTGAGCATGAACTGTTAATTTTTTCCCAAAAAAAAATCAATGTGCACGTCTCCTGTATACTATAAAGTATTTTCTTTAATTGTTGTGCCATCTCTGCTATTTTTAGATTGACTCAACTAAATATAAGAGCATCTCATCGGGATTTGGAGTTTTAATGAGGGAGCAGGGAATGAAAGGCTTTTTTCGAGGGTGGGTGCCTACTCTGCTTGGATATAGTGCTCAAGGGGCGTGCAAATTTGGATTTTATGAGTTCTTCAAGAAGTATTACTCAGACATTGCAAGGCCAGAATATGCAGCGAAGTACAAAACGTTAATATATTTGGCTGGTTCTGCTTCAGCGGAGCTGATTGCAGATGTTGCTCTTTGCCCCATGGAAGCTGTCAAAGTTCGTGTTCAAACTCAGCCTGGCTTTGCTCGAGGTTTGTCAGATGGGTTCCCCAAGTTTGTCAAGGCAGAGGGAGCTCTTGGGTATGCAAGCTTTTTTTTTTTTACTTTTAATAATCAATTTTAGGTATAATTATTAGCAGTGTGTGTTTCTAATTATTTCCAATTTTAATGTGCAGGTTGTACAAAGGACTTGTCCCTCTCTGGGGTCGTCAGATTCCATGTAAGCCAAAAAAATTGAATTTGGGTCTTTTTAGGCATGAGGAAAATCTATAATCCATATAACATCCCTAGAAAATGACAAAGCGTAGCTTCTATTGGTGTTATGCTATCCATTAAAGCTTTTCAGTTAGAGAGATCCTTGATTATTGACATACAAAAAATACCAATAACCAATTTACTAAGAACTAGATATTTCTTATCCCATTTCTTAGTTTTGACAGCTTAGTAGTACAAAATATGGCAAACAAGAGTGTTATGTTGACCCTTCAATTTCAAAAGGCTTTAGGACGAAGATAAATAACCATTGAAGCAACTTTTTTTCACCCCATTGAGTTTGCAATTTTAGATCTACACACGCAATTGTTTAGTTATAACCACGTTTTCATGTTATTGTAAAACCTGATTTCAGCCAAGATTGTTTGTCAACCTCTTTTCCTGCTCATTCGCCCTTACCTATTTTTCATTGCTTTCAGACACAATGATGAAATTTGCATCTTTTGAGACCGTTGTGGAGATGTTTTACAAATACGTCATTCCTACACCCAAAGAGCAGTGCAACAAAAATGTTCAGCTGGGAGTAAGTTTTGCAGCAGGATATGTGGCTGGCGTGTTCTGTGCTATTGTCTCTCACCCCGCTGATAACCTTGTTTCATTCCTCAACAATGCCAAGGGAGCCACTGCTGGCGATGTGAGTGGAACTATGTATTTAGGAACAAACTAATGTAACACTAACATCCATCTTCAATCTGGATGATGCTCACCGAGGTCTTTAAGTTGTTGGATTTTGCAGGCTGTCAGGAAGTTGGGGCTGTGGGGGCTTTTCACTCGTGGCCTTCCACTTCGTATTGTTATGATTGGAACCCTCACTGGAGCTCAGTGGGGAATCTACGATGCTTTCAAAGTATTTGTCGGACTGTAAGTAGCTTCTTTGCTTTTAGGAAAGTGCTTTTACAACTTGGACATCTAAAACAATATGGTTTATTCACATGTGTGAAACGTAACGTGAAACATACTGTAATTCTTCAACTTAATACTGTGATCTATAACTTCATATTACAATCTGTACTTTTTAGCACACTGCAGTTACTATGAATCTGTTGTTTGTTCTTTCAGGCCTACGACTGGAGGAGGTGCTCCTACAGCACATATTGCAAAGGCTTAGAAATTGAAGTAGATAATTTTAACACCCAAGCAATTTTTTTTGGAGATGCCAATAATGTTAGGATGCTAGTAACTGTTTTATTGTTGCCGGTGCACACCAAATATATACATACATACACACATATATGTATATATATAGTGTGAGAGCCATACTTCTTGTTTTGAGGTGGCGGTTTAGGTATTTTGTTTTTTTAAACTTCCCTGTGAATTGTTGTTTGATTATGTTGTCTCGGCAGTCGGATGATACATCCTACATGTTGTATTTACTATTACAATCTGTTGAACCTTCAGGTTCAAGGCATTCCTTTCTCTGGTCAATGTTCGGAAACGAGTAGCTGCATTATTCCTCTGAAAAAAAGTATTACAGAATTACCGGTGGATAGCCTTTTTTAATTTTTGTGCCGGATTAATGGAATAAAAATGTTGAGGGAAATTGAATTTTTTATCTTCTCTCAAGTTTTGAACAATCAATAAATTGACTCCTCAGGCCTTGGGACAACATTTACTGGGCTGGGTTCTACCGGCCCAATTTTTTGTTTCACGAGTCTCACGTTTCAGTTTGGTCCTTTCCTACGTTAATCCTAATCCTTAAAAAAAAAAAAAACAGAAAATGTGATATTGTATGTTCATGTTATATTTTTGCGGCCCTCAAACAAGATTATTTTTAATAGAAGGATATATGTGAATAACAAAAAATTTAATTATTAACTGGAAATCAATAACATCTTAAGTAGTTATTAATTAATGATCACGATAATAATGTGTGTTTATTGAAAGAGTAATAACATTAAATAATTTCTTATTTCGCGGTTAAAGAAAATTTTGAAAACCCCGTCTTCCATTCATTTCATAGGAAAAAGTTACTATTGAAGAGTATAAGGTTTCCAGGAAAACGATAACTGAACAGAAAAACTACTAGTCACTTCACTGTCCAGCTTACAAATTAAATAATTTCATTTTGGTGTGGGAATTAAATAATTCCAAATTATCGATTTTGTGGGAATTCAATCTGGCCCGCAGATTTTATTTTATATTTGGCAGAATATCAATGAGAAGAACCTGATATAAGTTTATGAAATATATATGTTGACTTGTGCTCGCCCAGTAACCTCTAGTTGCTTTGACTTGTGCAATGCACATGAGTGGGAAAAAGGTAACTCCAGTTTGAAGTCTAGTGGTACCGTGTCGTGCCTCTGTGCATTAAGTCATGGGTTGGATCCTTGGCTCATTAAGCATAATGCTTGCCCTTAAAATTTGACAAAAAAAAAGGTAATTCCTGCGACCACTTGAAAACTGGGATTAAACAGTTCAAGAAGATAAATCTTTATTTTTTTAATCTGACTATAATCACTCGGACTCAAAAAAAAAAAACCAAAAATCGTTTTTTGGGTCTTTGTCGGGGGAAGATGACAGATAAAAGTGAGATTGAGAATATTGATAAATTAGGGGTGTCGCGATCAGAGGGAACTTCACATGGGAGAGTCAGAAGTTATACGCGCAAATGTTTGTCTGTGGTGATACGGCGAGTGTATAATGTTGAAGAACAAATCTATTCATGCACATATGCAATTAAAATATATTATAGGAAAGTAATGCAAAATGGGGAGAGGGAGGAGAAAATAGGGAAAGAAGATGAGTCTCGATTACAATTGTTATATTAATTAATTTTATTAATACTTGAAAATTATTGTATAATACGAGACTCTTATAGAGTAAATGGACTTGGGCAGTCATTGAATCTACGTTTAAAACAGAGGAGATAATGAGAGGGTTGTAGAGAAGAGAGAGCTTTTATTCAATTCCCGTTCTAAGCAACGCTTGTATGTGTTATAATGTGAGAATATTCTAAAGATGTTAAAATTAAAGGTAAATATTTCATGGACAATATCTTGAAAAGACAACAATAATAAATACAATATTACAATAATTACAATGAAATATTTCTGAATATTAAAATCTTCTAATAAATCTCTAAGTCTTGTTCTTTCATTATATTTGTTATATTATTCTCATGCCAGCAAGCTACTGTTAATCTCAACATAGGATGAGATGGAGATGAGGTGTATTGAATTAAAAACAACTTAAAAACTGTCAAAGCTGAAGGTGATAGGATGTAAGATGCAATTAAGGACATTAAGTGTGACAATATAATATGACAAAACTAGGTATTATAGGTAAAAGTGGGAAACAAGCAAGCTTGACTTGTTTGGATCCGACCTTTAAGAGCTCAACCCCTCTAACTTGGTTTTTTTAAAAATGGTTGATTTTTGAAGTCGAGCCCTTATTTGAAAGGCTCAAGGCCTGGTTTATAAGCTCGTTTTATTTTTAAAAAAATTAAAAATAAAAATTTCAATAAAATAAACAAATACAAATATAAAATTTTGATCAAATCTTAGAATGAAGATAAAAAATTTCAATACACATCAACCTTATCAAATCTGAAAATTATACAAGCTTGTGTATCACAAAGTATAATATTATTCAAAACAAAGAAATAGGCCCAACAAAGTAATCATGTTTAAGAATTTAGTAAAAAATCTATCAACATCATATTTAAATAAATGGCAAAAAAATAAACATAAGTCATTTTGATAACACAATACTTGAGTTGATTCATTTTTAGTTCCACACTCCTTTCTAGTTTTAGAAATTTATTAACTGAGAAAAAAATGGCAACTTCGAAGAAAATAAAGAAACAAAAAGAAAGAAGATAAAATGGAAGCAAAAGATGAAGAATGAAAGGTGTGGAAAGAAAATGATGATTGCTCACAACAAATTTGAATTCATTTTTCTATTTTGAGTCCCAATGATACAAGGTAGAGGTACCTCAATACCATGACAAATGCAAGATCAAGACAAAGGCTGAGATTGTGAGAAGAGGCCAAGAGGGAGAATAAATTACAAGATTGTGTAGGAGAGAGCAAAGTAATAAATTATCAAATCTGAAAATTATACAAGCTTGTGTATCACAAAGTATAATATTATTCAAAACAAAGAAATAGGCCCAACAAAGTAATCATGTTTAAGAATTTAGTAAAAAATCTATCAACATCATATTTAAATAAATGGCAAAAAAATAAACATAAGTCATTTTGATAACACAATACTTGAGTTGATTCATTTTTAGTTCCACACTCCTTTCTAGTTTTAGAAATTTATTAACTGAGAAAAAAATGGCAACTTCGAAGAAAATAAAGAAACAAAAAGAAAGAAGATAAAATGGAAGCAAAAGATGAAGAATGAAAGGTGTGGAAAGAAAATGATGATTGCTCACAACAAATTTGAATTCATTTTTCTATTTTGAGTCGCAATGATACAAGGTAGAGGTACCTCAACACCATGACAAATGCAAGATCAAGACAAAGGCTGAGATTGTGAGAAGAGGCCAAGAGGGAGAATAAATTACAAGATTGTGTAGGAGAGAGCACTGTAATCGAGCACTCATGACATCACTTGAAGTCAAGAATCAAAGATCGTGAGATGAGATGTGAGAGCAATATGAGTCCAGAGTCCTTTACTGAGATTGAGAGCTAAGAGAGAGAACAAATTTGCAGTGTCGAAAAGTATGTGGCATAAGTGTGCTTAAGCTTTTCTTTTAAATGCCAAGCCAAATGGTACATTTGAAATGGGGGAAGGACAAAACAAGAAATAAAATTTAAAAGGTCGTCCAATCTCAAGCCCTTTTTTCAAGGGCCTATTTCTAAAGCATAGTTTTTCAAAAAACCTTAAATTTTAAAGTTTAAATTTTTATTTAAATAAGGTCTTTAAATTTGACTATTATTCTTAACTCTAATTACTGAAAGATTCTTTATTAATTTGTTTTATAAATTAGTCTATGCCATTCATATTTTTACATGTTACAATCAAGTTACTGCAAGAATCTTATAATTAATACATAACAAAACTCGCCTCAAATTCCGCTAAAATTGTTGCCAAATATACACGCACGCACAATAAGCTGTAGCCTGCAAGGCATGTCCCTTTTTTTTTTTTTTGGGATACAAAAAGGCACGTTCAAATCACTCGATATACACAATAATGAATTAGATACGAGATGATGAATTTTTTTATCTTTAACATTAACTCGATGGTCAAAAATTGCATGTTGTTTTGAAAGAAGAGGTAAATTGAGCCATGGCAGTCATAGAGATCGTCTATATGTCCTTAAAATATCGTTTTGAAAACACTCCACCAGTCAATGTCAGCTGGCATATATATATATTATAAACACCAAAATATTATGGAAGAATTATATTGAAATCTCAAACAAAAAATTAATTATCACAAGATACATTAATAATTGAACTAAAGTATAATAATAAATTTTCTTGGATGTATTTATTTCAATATTATTTGTTGTCTTTTGGAAAAATTACTTGAAATATCAATTAAAAAGGGATAATCTGGAACACGGACTAAGTTGAAGCTAACACAGGATATGATTTCACGTTTTTAAATGGCAGGAGTGTAGTTTTTAAATCATTGTTATAAATATTATAATAATGAAAAGGTCAAAGAACTGGATGAATGATTTTTGTTTTTTTATAGTTAACACCGGTCATACAAGTTGTTCTTTGAACAATGCATATTCTCAATCAGCAAACTTTGAAGATTCCACCAGATTAAATATTCACGTGCGGTATAATGCACATCCAAGAGTACTCACTAATCACGCGGCCACACTGCTGACTGAGCCATAAAACCACCAAATATATAGAAAACGTGATTGATATACAGCTTTTGATTGCAATAAGAGGCAAGGTGTGCGTGTGTGTAAAGGTCAAAATGGAAAAAAGAATCAGACAGCGACAGCAGCAACGAAATGGAAAAGAAGAATCCAGATGGATGATGATATATATAAATAAATAGCAGCCTAATTGATAAGCAAGGCCAGTCAGATCTAATGGAAACGGGGCTCCTCCAATCATGCATATAAAATGCATCATATTAACGCAGGCACATGCATATTGGATAACCTGCAACGTAACAGTTTTGAAGGCGTACATTCTATTTTTTTTTCCCCACATTAAAGTAGAGACTTTACATGCTAAAAGAACGTGTATATATACTGATGAATGTATAGCTGGGGGACAATGATGTACACAGCTGCTGATGAGGCAGCGATTAAGGAGGTGGCTAGGTTGATATGTAACATGATCCGTGGAATTCAGAGCGTGAAGGATTGGTGGAATCTGGGAAAAGCCTCTGGATCTGGTTGTGAACTCCGAGGAAAGCCACTGTGTGTGTGTGTTTATATACGTGACCTGTATGTGTATACATATACATGCAGACACGCTAGCGCAGAGACGGAGAGAGTGGGACGGCAAGTGGTAGATAGCGAGAGGGAGGACATGCAGGTAATGAAGGCGAGAGACATAAAGATAAAGTACGTGTGAATGAACAGTAAAGTGAGGTGGGTGATTTCTACAGTGTTTAAAGTTTAAAGCGTCCTTTTCTCTTCTTTTGGGAGTTTGGGCCATTTAACACTTGGAAATGAATTCGTTCACGAACCTATTCTTCGTCTCATTGCGATTTGAGTCTTAGTCTCTCAATGTGAATCATGCCCTCTGCTCTAACTTTTCCAAGCCCAAGTCTTCGCTTGCCCACCAATTACACTTCTCTTTGAATTTATAACTTGCTTTGACCATGCAGTACTTACTTGGTGGATTATACCGCTGAGTCTAACCTCAGTATTGACTCATGAAATAACTGATACAGTGTTACGATCACAGACAAAGGAGAGCCAGGACTCATAGCACGTGCCACAGGGCTACTCCTGTTTGAGAGCCACCTGCAGCACTTCACTTGATCATTTACCTTTCATATGATGGGTGACTAGAATCACAAGTTTAAATAAAAAGTTTATAAATTTTTAATTTTATGGATTAAATTATTCATCCTCTTTATAAATATGTACTTATTTATTTTTTTAATCATTTTATTTTTATTTTTTTAATCTATTTCATTCTATTTATTTTTAGTAATCAAATGGGACCTAGTTTTTTATCTAAAATATTCTTACCTATTTTGTTCATCATATATATGTTTTAACTAACAATTTCATAATTAATAACATTTATTTTTTAAAAAACATGTTCTTATTATTTTAAAATTTTTTAAAGAATATATAATTTATCTATAGACACACACACACATATTGTTTGGGATGTGCAAATAAATGTATGTGTATATAATGAGTAGCTGAGTGCTGTACGTATACTGTAATTTCAATATGGTACATGATGTGATCAATGACCTTATGGCATAGACATGTAAGTTTTTTTATAAGTAAAAAATCATTGGATCAATCCTACTTGTAATCTCATGCAAATAATGTTTGGCCCTCTAATTAAAAAATCTGGTACCCGATGTGATGATTTTAGGTTTCAGGCAAACAAAATTAAAAGGTAGATGCTGCGTGGGCTGACGAACGCGGAAGAAATCGATCAAACATCTCCAGCCCATCATGCAGCTTAATAAAGAGGGAAAAGGACACATTTTGATCAGACTGGAAGAACAACGTAACGCCGTTCAAATTTTAAAATTTTGAAAGCGCAGCGCTACTTTTTATTTCTATATTTTACTCAAAATTTGTTATAAATTCCTATATCTTTCCAGTGTTTCAAGTTTTTTTTTTCTATTACGTTAGTTCTTATAAATTTAGAGAGATGTTGATATAGTATAAATGATGTTAAGATTGTTGATATGTACACGAACACTGTTAAATTTATACTGATATGTTAAATGAGTGTCAAATTAGACTTTTTAATAAGTAAAATAAATTTTAAAAGAAAGCTACATTAAATTAAAAAAAAGGCTAACAAGAAGTTTTGAAAAACTCTCAACTTAAAATATCTTAAAATAATATTTTGATCTTGATTTTTAAAATTTAAGGTCCACAAATTTTTTATTTTAAAAATTTGAGTATTTTACGTTTTTCAAGTATACCAAAATTATTATATGTTCTTAAAGTATCCCATTAAAAATTATTGCAACTGAACTTTTAGGATTTTCACCTCACAGACATTGTTTTTCCAATTTAAATTCTATAGTTTTCAATTTTCAAAATATAAGTTATTATTTAGTCCCAGCTTTTTTCCACTAAAAAAAACAAAAAGGAAAAAAAAAAGACCAGCTTCATGCATGTGCTCCCTTTCGCTGGCGCTCGCCACGCAACCTCACAAAATTTAACTCTCCGCGTAAAAAAACAAAAAAAAAAAAAAACAGAGAGAGAGGTTAAAATTAACATATTAATTAATTAATTAATACTAGGTCATTCTGCTATTACGAATTAACGCCACTGTTTTCTATTTTTTAATATTTTTATTCGTCATTGTCCGTGACCATAACTCCATATTCCGTGTACATACATACATACATATCTACATACATATATACATATATATATATATATATATATTTTCTTCTATTCGATTCTAACCTGTTTTGTATAGCATCGCTCCATCTCTGATGCCTCATTAAATAATTCTGTTGTTTTCTGCTCGCAATGTCACGGCGACCGTTCTTTCTTTCTTTTTTTCATTTCGTTTATTTGTTCATTTTCTCGTGCCATTATTTTTTTCAGATATTTTTTTATTAGAAATGAAGATTAATCTTTTTCACACAACGAGAGCACAAGAAAGATACTTTCCAACTAGATTTATGTCCTACAAAAGTCCCTTCTTTACCGCTCATCTCAATTTGAGTGAGTTCATTGTTTATTTCTGAACGTATTTATCATTTTCTCCACAAAAATCCAAACAACATCATATTCCCTCCAGTGGAGTGAATCTTTCATTGTTCCATTATTTTCTTTGAAAAATTCTGATATTGTTAATTTCTGTGTGATAATTTACATTCTGCTTGTAAATTCAATTTTTTTTTATTTACATAATAACTCCGCGTTTTTCGGGCGAGGACAGTACCGTAACCCTGATACTTCATGCACAGAAGGTGCTTGTAAAAATGACGCATCAAGGCCACCAGCAAACAAGTCAAAAAAAATCAACTTATCCTTTTCGGCATCTCATTTTTTTTTTTTGTTCCTTAAAAAATAAAAAAAGAAATCTTGAATGCTGAACAAAACTTGTTATCAGCATCGGTAATTCAAGTTGATCGGATTGGACCGGTCAAATGAACTGAACTGGACTGGCCTTGCATGGGAATAACTGAATGAGTTACCTTTAAAGATCTGGGCAATTATATGTGGCAGCGTCTTTATATATTGAGACCTTCCCTCTTAGTTCTGTCGCAGACCCATTCTCCATTACCACTCTGCTTCCTTCCCTATCACTATCTTCATAACTTCCATTTGCAAATCCTCCCCACCTCTGTCCATGGCAGCCTTTTCATTCCAATGCCACCCTTTTCTTGTTGACTCTCCACTTTTCTCTAGTGCTCCCATTAAGACGACAGCTTTCACTGACCAGGCTCAGGTTCAGCCTCAGCCTCATACGAACCCTGCTCCTCAGTTTCACGAGACATCTTTTCACATCACAAATCAGGAGAATAGCTTTGTTGATCAGAACTCCAAGTTTAACATGAGTGATAATGAGCCTCCTTCTGTCACCAAAAACCAGAGTCCTGAGACCTCTGTGGTGTTGGATAAGCTTGAACCTGGTGAGCAGGTCACTCAGAAGGTGACTCCTATGGAGAAGAAGAGAAACAGGAATCGTTCGAGTCATCCTCAATCTAAGGTAGATTAACTTTAAATTTGAGCTTTCATGGTTCTTTGCTATGGCTTTATGGTGAGGGGTGAGCTTAATTCTCAAGATTTTGCCTCCAAAAACTGATTATCCTTGTTTGATTGCTTCGTGCTTTTCTTCAATAGGAAGCTACCGGGGAAAGAAAGAAGAAACAGAAGAAGAGCAACAACGGAGAGGCGAAAGAAGGAGATAAGCCAAAAGATGAGAAGAAGAATCAGAAGAAGAGTCCTGAAGAACCTCCAACAGGTTATATCCACGTGAGAGCAAGAAGAGGTCAGGCAACCGATAGCCACAGCCTAGCTGAAAGGGTAAATAGATATACACTCTTAACATCTTTCAACTCTGGGTCCCCTTAGAAGTTAGATTGAGCTATTTGGACATGAAAATTCCTGAAACGGCCAAAACTTCATGTCTCGTTGCGGATGTTTTAGGTAAGAAGAGAGAAGATAAGTGAGAGGATGAAGATGTTGCAGCGACTCGTTCCAGGCTGTGATAAGGTAATTTGATGGAGTTCGTTTCTTTCTCTTGATATGTATCCTGGTTCAAAAGTTTGTTTCTCTCAGATCTTCTGACACCTCTATGTGGGTTTTGCGCGCGCGCGCGCGTAGGTGACTGGAAAAGCCCTCATGTTGGATGAAATAATCAATTATGTTCAGTCCCTACAGAATCAAGTGGAGGTACCATGAACTCAAGTTTCTTTTCTGGTGATTCCGCATTGTTGATTACCTGCAATGAGTAAAACTAACAAGCTAGCTATGCCTATGTTCTGCAGTTCTTGTCAATGAAACTTGCTTCTGTGAACCCCGTGTACTATGACTTCACAATGGACCTAGACTCCCTCATGGTCAGACCAGAGGTGAAGTAGAACATAGTGGTTTCTGATTTGCTTGTGTTCCTTAAATATAAAAGTTATGACCCTGACTCAAATTTTTGTCCTTGTATTATTCAGAAATCAAATTTCGTGCCATCTGTGCCACAATGCAGCCTCAACCAGGCGACAACTTTTGCTGATACAAGCATCACCACCACCACTCCCATGGGCTTTCCTACTGCTAATGACTATCCTTCGGACAATTCGGCTTCTTTTTCTCTTCAAGGACAGAGGTCTAATGTCTTATCTGAGGTATATATTTTAGAAATGACCAAAGAAAAATATCAATATCAAAATAACATAAAATTTATATCAAGCTGTACTGTTTAAAAGTCATCTTTTAGTGCCGCTCATTTTTCATGTTCCATGAAACATACGGGTCCAATATTTAGATTTTATGATAAAGAAAATGTTTTTATTTTTTGGCCCCTTTTCCTGATTCTGATAAATACATCATTTTCAGGACACGAGTAGTCAATTCTGGGACATAGAAGACCCACGCCAAAAGTTTCTTCATCCATATGGGATCAACAACAGCTTATGTTTCTTTCATTAACAATAAATTTATATCCAGCTGCCCTGCAAGGCAACAAACATGTTGTAAGATCTCAAATCCTGCCTAATAAACAACAATACAAGATTTGCGTATCTGTTATAATCTTTTCGCTTATATATATTTTTTCTTTATTTCAGAGGATTTATCTATTCCAGTAGGTACGGGAATTGCAGACAGCCACGAGAATCATCGAAAAAGAAGTTCTTATGCTCGAAAAACCAGAGCCACGCTTGGAACCAGCGTTATCAGTTGGAGAAGAAATTAAAATTAGTTGCCATAATACTCTGGCTTGGTTCCTAGTCCATCCGATAAAAGTGGCCTTTGGACATGAATAAAGGGAAGCAAAATTAATGGATGAAGAACCCAGAGGACATATACTACCGACCAAACATGACCATATCTTTTCTAGATTCATTGTTCTGTTCCTGTTATTTTTAACTCTCCAAGTGATATGTTGCACATATTCCAAGATGCTCTGGGTCAATCATAAAGACATCAGACTTTGAATAGATTACTTCAATCATGTAAATTACATTATATATATACATAAAAGATTCTTGTGGTGGCAGTTTTTCCGTTGCAACAGTTAATTTCACCGTTATTGGGAAATGAGAGGCTGACCTATTATCATGTTCTTGACACGACAAGCTACGCAGTTTTTGTTCAGTTTGCTTTATGTAAATGTTATCTGCAGAATCTTCAGAGGTTTGGAATTATTATATTTTTTTCCTTAAATTATTACTATCATGGAGTGGATCAGCCATGGACAGAGCATCTACGTTTTCCTTTTGACTCAATTTTAATATGCATCAAAACTTGTGACAGTGGCTTCGTTTTTTCCCAACCGAGCTCCTTTGTGTGAAATTACAATTCAATCCTCCCTTGCCCAGTAAAAGACAATAAAACTGAAACAAACAAGGAGGGACAATTTTTCTCTGTAAGCAGGGCAGCTCTTGTCTCTCTGTACGTGGGACAGAACTACCAAACTGTGTGAATTGAACTTCTGCCAAAACTTGTCATGTCCAGGCTAGAAATGTCAAAGTTCTGCATTACACACTTCTTACCAATAGCTTATAAGGATGCGCTTCAATAGTTAAAGGGTTCTCTTGAAAGTTTTACTCAAACTAAAGTATTCAAAACTCATAGGACTTGGATTTTTATGAATGTCTAGTTACTAAGAACATAAGAAATTCCATTTTATCAATACTCTTGGTATTTTTTATATTTAATATTGATAAAGTCCAAGCCATACGACATGTCAACAATAATATCGTTTATTGAGCCTAACACAACACTTTTCTTTTATTCAGGCTCGGGATTGACTAAATTCAAACCATATCTACTCAAATTAGGCTTTTAACAGCTTCGTCTTAATTCCAGAAGGTCGGTTTCAAATTTGCCTTATCAGAACAAAATTTCTATCAATAATTTCGGAAGATGCTGGAGCGTAAACATAGATATGCCTTGCGGATGTCTCCTTGAAATTGAAATGACAATCTTTGTCAACCGAAAATGACCAAGAGCATTAAAGCCTTTCTTTTTGGGATTTCGTTTTCCGTTTTTTCCCCTTATATCACTGTGTCCGGCTTTTCAAATGGCCCGCATATTCAAGGGTGTAAAAGAACAATATTCATCACCTTCATCCTTACAAGATGCTTTCTTCTACAGACCTGTGCAGTTAAAATTTGTAAGCGGGGATGAACTTGGTTAAATAAAACTTGAAAAGTATCCAATGAGAAACAAGGAAAAAAAATGGATTGAGGAAGAGAGACAACCATGGTTTAGTAGCCAAAAGAAATCAATGAATATTGAACAGAAGATGAAAACATAATTCAGTCCCCTAAGCAACTTGAATTTTTCTCTCACATTAAGCTTTGAATGTTATGGTTTTAGACAATCCATGTGGATTTGGTGTTCCACCTGTTCCCTCTGTCGACCCACATGTTTCCTTTTCCTTACCAATCATATACGCCGTCCTCTTGTGCGTGTCTGATGTTAAGATAAATTTGATTTATACATAGACATAGTAAATTATAAAGATACAAATGCACTTGCTCTTAATATACTTGCAATATCTTTTATCACGTTTGATTATTTCTTGTAAAAATTGTTAGTTCAGCCACGGCTGGTTTGAAACTAGTCTGCCCTAGAACCTACTCGGTCATGCTTGAAAAAAGATCAGATTATTTGGTGTCCACCACACACAGGTCGATTAAAGGTGAGGGATAGCAATGTGTCGAGAGTACCATAAAATTTTGAAACCATGACCAATCGATGTGCAGGATTTGGACAAGACAACGAATTTTGTTGTGTTCTCTTGGTAGATAGCTAACCAGCCACTTGGCCTCTGTGAGTTTAAGTCAAGAAAAAGCAGTGACATGAAAGCTGAAATTGAAGGAAGGAAGGAAAGAACACTTGCCAACCAAAAAAAGTTGTTCCAAGAGACCACAAAAAACTACCAGATTATGAATTGCTTAATAATATTTAAGAATTTTTAGGATCTAAAGAAGTAAGTGGTGTATCATATTTGTTGGTCACCAACACGTCCCTATGCAACAGAAGGGACCCCCGGTGCTCCTAAACATTTCATGATATGGACTAGGACCCTCCTCCCCTGAACTGACTGGTAATGTAGTAATGACATTGTTTTCTGGCAGTACATCTCCCTAGCATGTTATGATCATTGCTTATTCAATGTTTTATTGTAATAAAAATAATAATATTAATTGTTGAGCTTTCATAATGTTTTCTTGTGGGGCAGCTCTGGCTCCCTGCAAAATCTTTCCTTCACAATCCATCGTCGTTGTTATTATCAGTTATCTGGAAACTGGGTTTGAAAGGAATCTTATTTGTGACAGCAACATTTACAGTTTTGCTGTGGAATTGTCTTCCAATATCACAAGCAACATAATTAATATTGCAGATCTCTAGTCTTCGCGTACTGATCCATATGACAAGTCATCGTCCAAACCCCCGACTCGCTTTTGAAAATATAAATAAAAACATATGACACTTGTCGCACTGTCTTATGACGTTCGAGAGTGGAAAAATGATCGTGGCAATAAAAAAAAAAAAGGATTTTGAGTATGAGTGTGTGTAATGGAATGAATGTTCCTCTCTGGAATCAGTTCGTGTCCACATAGGTCAATTGAACCTGAAACTTTTCGGATGAAGTGTCTCTGCTTTTCTCTCCATTTTCCCCGCCTTCACCTTTCATTATCAATGGTTTGAGAAAATGGAAAGAAAAGTAAGGGGAAAAATGGAAAGTCCCATCTCCCTTCTCGGACTTTTATAACTTTCATTACCACGACTGCTTTATTGTTACTCAATTGCTCTCACGGAATTTTTTTTTTTTTTACTTTTTTCTTTCTTTCCTTCTTTGTTTTTAATAAGCTTTGCTTTAGCTGTTACTGTAGGCCTGTGCACTAATTTGCGAGGCTCGTGTCGATATGCTTATGATCGGAAAACCACCACGTCATTGAGAAGCCCATGATCTGACATGGATTGGTGCTGGTGGCTTCAGCAAGAGCATGTAAAAAGTCGCACAGGTTAATAGGAGCTAGGAGTTAGTGCAAGCAATAAAGTTTTACCGTTATATGTACAGAATCAGCGTGAATTTAAAGATGTGCTGCTGAGTCACCATCTGGTGACGTTGTTCTGATGCAGTATTGCAGTTTTCGAAGGGAACAAAGGGGTTGAAATATATATATTTTAAATTTATTTTATTTATGTGCCTATTTTTTATTTTTTTTAATGTTGTTAATAATATATAAATTTTGTAAAATTACACAAAATTTTTCTGACGCTTTTTAAAACATAAACGAACTTTTCTTACAAAAGTACAAGAAAGATATGCATATGTAAATTTTAGTATTTTACAAGTAGAGGGAAAGTATAGTAATTAAAATCAAGAATAGCAATGCTTTGGCCAAAAAAAAAAAAGGAACATCAATGCAATTTTTTTTTATAATAATAAGTGAATAGTTGCTCTTCATATTTAGTAATTTACTATATCTTGAATAAAATTATCTTTTTAAAAAAAATACACTTTCAGAAAAAGGTTGTGCTACTCTATCAGACTTGCATATTAAAAAAAAATTAATTTTAGAAACTGGTATAATTGAATCAAGCAAACATGCATATGACAGGAGACTGTTGAGCTTAATCAGATTGTTTGTCTTGTTACTTGGCCGACGATGTGTGTGGCGTCGGTGCACCCAGATATTTGCTTTTGAGGCAATCTTCAACTTGGATTAAATGTTGACTACTGAAGCATGATCTGTCTTATCATCATTATCTGCGAGCTACTTAATCATGATTGGAGGCCTAATTACAACCTTAAATAATCAAGCAATTAGAAAACCTAGTCTCTCGTGTAGTAAAACATAAGTCATATTTTACAAACATTATCTGATACAAAATATAAAATATTAAATAATTTTTATATTTTTTTCAATTATGCCACAACTTTATTTATTATTTTTATTTAAAATATATATTAAAATTTTAATTATTATTATCAAGATTCTTATATATAATATTTAATTAAAATATAAATATAAAGATGTAAATATTTTTAAAAATTTAATTTTTTAATTAATATTATTTTTAAATTATAAATTAGTTAATTATTATTTATATTATGGTTCAGAGGCTATTGCTGTGAATGGAACGTGTGGGATTAAATGCCAATTAATCATGAGCACCACAAAATCCTCATGGTTCCAATAATCATGAATTGATTGTAACTATTCGTCTTCATTTCCAATTCCACCTGTCTGTAATTTATGCACACTGCCTTTGTGTCTGTCTGTCATGTGATGGTGATTAGTGAGAAGATGAATGCATCATCAATTAAGGATCTAATTGTCGGTACCTACAGTTAATCTGTCGGGCATGCTTCTTGGCCGATCACATACTCAGTCTGACTCGTTACAGCGGCTGCCCAGATTTGAGATTTCACGGACGTGACTGGAAAATGGCAATTACTACGTCTAATTTTGTCCGGCTAAATGAAAAATACTCCCTCCAATCCATAGTATGAAGTAAAACAAAGTTAACAATTTTTTCATTCATTAAAAAATGTTAATTATACTTTTAAAATTGTAAGAAAAAGCATGCATTCGTGATTAATAATCATAATAAATTATTTTTTAAGAATTTAAATAACAATAAATAAATAATGGGAAAAATTAAAAAAATAATTACTTTGACTCAAATTAGAGCATAAAAGTTTTCAAACTTTGTCTCAAATTAAGTACCAAAGTACTTCTTTCATTTTCAAATATAAAAGAAAATAATAAATTCAAATAATTTAAAAAAGTTAGTTAATTATGATAATTATGTATCAAATTTAAAAAAAATTGTACTAAATTATTCTTGTAGTTAAGGAAACAAATTTGTCTAGTGAAAATGAATATCGGCTTTGCGTGGGACAATATAGAGAAAATGTGATAAATACTCCTTAAAATTTGTAATTGTACCTGTAAATAAAAAAAAAAACACATCCTACTTTATGTTATATTCAAAAAAGATAGAGTACTAGGTTTTATAGAAAATATAATTTTGATCTTTGTACTTTGCTCTTATTTTGCTTTTGATCTCTGTATTTTGCTCTTATTTAGCTTTTGATCCCTAT